TTCATTGGCAGGATCGAATTTTAGCATCCGCAAGGCTGAATATTTCGCTAAATGCGCCTACATCGAAGGGAAAAGAATTTTGGGCATCAATGAGGCTGTGTTGTTAGCTGCCTAAACTACATGTCTAATATAATGGAGTGTTGTATCTAGTGTTAATCAATTCAGTATGCACGCACATTTATGATCCGTCTACAAAGATAATTTGAGGGACCATGGCCACTTCGTTGTTTGATTATTCCTCTTCACAGAGAGATATACTTAAGCTTCAGCAGAATTTTATTTCATTAGTGCATGCCACGGTCAGAAAGCCGACAAAATCAAGGAGTAACATCAGAAAGCTTCAAAATTCCTATCTCGACTTAAACTTTGAGATAGATGGCTTATCGCCGTTATCACTGGCCACGAAAGAATCCAAGGTACTTGACATACTATTACGTCACAAAAATTTGGATGTCAACTTTTGTCTTGATGACGGTCGAACATGCCTTTTTGCGGCCGTTCAAGCCACAAAGCCGGAATCGCTCAGACTCCTGATACAAAACGGAGCCTTAGTCAACCAAAAAGACAACGAAGGTCGCAGCCCATTAGCATTGGCAGCAGAGCTCGGACACTACGACCATGCGAAAATCCTCGTCGAGGCGAATGCAGATATCGGCTCCACAGATGAGGAGATGTGTACCCCAATAACAAGGGCTATTTTGGGTCAAAGGAACGAAGTCCTAGAATATCTGCTCTCCAAAACTGTTGGGGCTTTCACACAGTGTGACCGCCGTGGCCGAACATTATTGATTATTGCCGCGGAGGCTGGAAATATCCAAGGAATGCAGCTTTTGATTAAGACGAAAACATCGAGTGCCCGATTCAACGAAAGCGAACGCAGTCTGTTGGTTTGGGCAATCGTTCGTCGAGATATTCGTACTGTTCAGCTGCTGCTAGAAGCTGATCTTAGCCTTGTTAATCAGCGCGTGAAAGGGAGAACGCCGCTATCAGTGGCAGCAGAGACTAGAGAAGCCAGCATTATGAGACAACTTATTGATGCTGGTGCGGACCCTGACACAGCAGATGAGAAAACATGGCCTCCCTTGAGTACGCTGCCGTTTGAAAACTGCATCCCTGATGAATCTACTTTGCTGGATATTGACAATTATGTCTCTGGCCATATTGAAACTTGCCAAGCGCCATTGCATTTGTCTGCAAGGTTCAATCATCAGGAGGGCTTGGAACTTCTTCTCAAGTCAGATGCGGATGTCAATTTCAAGGACACGAAAGGGCGTACGGCACTGGCCTGGGCTGTTGAGAAAGGCCACGCGATGGTGGTTGAGGCTCTTCTCAGTACTCGAAACGTCGAAGTTGACTGCCATGATGTGCACGGCCAAACTCCATTTTCTATGGCAGCCCGGCTTGGGGAATTAGGGATCCTGAAGAAGCTCTTCGATTCAGGGGCCAATGTCAAATCGGAAGATATGCAACAAATGACACCGCTTGCATGGGCTGTTCAGGAGAGACAGCAAAGGGTCGTTGAATTTCTGCTCGACCTGCCAGGAATCGGGGTAGATCAACCTAATAATGATGGCCGAACTCCGTTTTCTCTAGCAGCCGAGCTGGGATTGATACCAATAATGCAATTACTCTTGAATAGGAAGGCTGACCCACACCATATGGACTATCACGGTCATACCGCCTTTTGGTGGATTTTCAAGAGAACAGACAGGCCTGAGTGTCGACTGGTAAATTGGAATCCATTTGATTTTTTCTTTTTGGTCAGCGGCCTACCAGAACCCAACAGAAAGGACAAATCAGGTCGCAACTGGCTCTCATGGGCGGCAGAATATGGGGATGCACAAGTTGTGACCCATTTGTTACAAAATAAAATGGTCGATGTCAATATAAGAGATGATACTCAGGGGTCATTCTCTCGGACACCACTGATATGGGCCTTGGAGACAGGAGAAAAAACTGTGATAGATTTGCTGAAAGAGGATGACAATATTTCATTACATCTGCTAGTTGAAGAGGCAAGATTCATTTGGCAGTTTAGGTATAGAGCGTTGCATTTGATTCACGCACTGATTCAAGCAAATTATGGCATGAACCAGCGTGATTTCAAAGGGCGAACGCCTCTGCATCTTGCTTGCCAGAAGGCTGATGGGGATGTTGTTTTGGACATGATCAATGCAGGGGCTGAAACGAACTGCAAAGACCACGCTGGAAAGACCCCTTTACAATATGCTCTGGAAGTGAGATGCAAGAAGGTCGTACAGTTATTACTCAATGCTTCGTCAACTGACCTCAAACCCATCCTTTCAGACGAGTGGTTTAATCTAGAACCAAAAAGGGCTTCTTGGATCCAGATCACAAAAAAAATCAATAACTTGGGCTTTGACTTTGAATTGGTCAGTGATACATTGTGCGATTGGCTGCCTGGGCCAAAAGAATCCAGGCTGTGGTAAGTGCGCTTGTTTTGAAGAATACTCCACCTGCTCACTGGCTTAGCATATGCAAGAACGGTTCAATTTGGACACAATTACCAAAGAGTTTTGGTGTTCGTGGCTCTCCAGAAGACCAGAATGAGTACTTCGGACACTTCCACGAGGAATTCGGGCAGGTCGTTGTTACCTACTTGCGTTTGAACTTCCCCGAATATCATCATGGTGAAGCTTTATATCCGTGGGGCATTTCTTGGGTAAGCAAACAAACCACGGAAGGACTTGCACATGGGTTTATTAGCACACTTCCAAATGGCTGGGTGCCGCATAATCCATTTGAGTTTTTCCAACAGTTTCTGAACCATCTTCATCAAGAATGGAATAAATTTTGCTTGAGATTGGCAGATAGAGTGGAAGAATTGGTAGGTTAACGAAAACGCTGTGGCTTTCTTCAAACTAGACTCTGGGACTGACTTGCTGGCTCACTCTAAGCGGCGTGATCAGGTACACTCTAAGGGGAGAAACCTTGATCTCATAGACTGCTTAGCTCAAGCTTTGCAGAGTCGTGCGCAGCTTTCTAAGTGTCTACAGTCGCATATTGAGGGTATCAATGATGTCATCACTAAAAACACCTCCTTTGACTTGAATCAGAAGTCACAGTTAGCAAAGGATATAGGGATTATCGAAAAAAAGTTGACGTCAAAATTGAGTCACTCAGAACAGAGTTTACGCGAACTATTACAGATCGTACGTATGTGGAAGACTACCTCACGCCAGATACTAATCATAGATCAACAGGAGCTTGCCTGGGTTTCGACTAACGGGTCTGCCAGCGTTAAGCGTCTTAGCTGGCTCACTGTGAGCACTATCACATTAAACCTATGCATCTTGCTAACATTTAACTGGACAGTTCGTTTTCCTGCCACCGATGTTTGTCTCGGTACTGTACCTCAGCCCCCAGCTTCGTTTGAAGGTGTTGTCTAACTTCCCAATTAGAGTCTTTTTGGGATGAACGTGAATCTCCTGGATAATAATCCAGACTGGCGATGGTACATATTATTTGGGACGTTGTCATTTGTTTTCACCGGAGCATTGTGGTTGGTCTCCAAGGCTTTTTCTGTAAGAATCTCGGCCCTGATATATCCAAATATTGAAAGGCTTACATACTATCCTCTTTTTTTCCCCCCCCCAGTGCAGAAAGGTCTGAGCGTAAATTATCCACGTAAAAATGGGTTATTCGGAAGGAGTCATACCAGTGTACGCTAGGCTGACAAGCATGGCGTAAGACTAGCGGCTCTGCCTACTTCATATGTCAACGCCATCGTGGGGATGGAGTGAAGAACGGGGTTGGAGGATTTGAGAGTCAGTTCTTGTATTAAGAGAGACACAGACATAGGGTATATGAGCCAAATTGTCCGTTTCGCAAACGCGTTTTTCTACCGATGCTGACATCAATTATTGGAAATTGTGTATTTTTGTGTGTTGTTTTAACTTGGTCTAGTCCTGATAACACGACATTTTCCAAAGATCCTAAATCTACGCCCAAGGAAAATTATACTTTTCTTCCACAACATAGATTTTACACTCCGGGCTATTCTTACCATTTCTCTCCTGTTCTGTCACTGCGTTGCGACACGTCCAGAATAGGTGTGATCGAGCCAGAGTGTGATACTTGACCCAATCTTTGAGAACAGGCTTTCGTAGTCGAAATAGCACGGGCTCGATGCTGGCCTCCGCCTCCACAATCTGCAATGCTGCCGTCGTGTGACAACCCACGATGGCCTGACATGCAATCCGCTGGATTATGCTTAGTGGCCGCGCAGTCCATCGTGCAACGACATTGCGTTTGTTTGGAGAACACCAGACGGACGCGGCGTAGTCGGATCTGGATGCCACCGTTGCTGTGATAGTTTTCGGGCCACCTCCGGAGAGACTGCGAGGAGGCGAACGCGTTCCGTCCTGTACAGTAACCCTTTGGTGACAAGTACGGATTAACAGATTAACATCCTTCCGCTTACCCCCTTAACGCCGATCTAGTAGACCAGCACGTCACCTTCCAAAGTGGCGGGTCGTTTCGTGTCTACCGCTCGAGCGGATCGCGCGGGAGATTTATTAGATTACCTACCTAACTAACTAGCCATAACATAGATTTCAAAACCAACTCCCTTCCTCAGTTAAACAGGGCCATGGCCCCAGGAGCGACGCAAGCAGTCAGGACTCACATGATGCAAGAGGGGTGGCAAGGTGCAGAACACGGAAGGGCCAGTCCAATGGCAAAAATTCGGTCGCCGTCTCGAGATGGGCAGGAACTGGAAGATATCTTTATAGACCACGCACTGTGATGCCAAGCGGCAGTTAAGCGCTTTCCCCGATTAGGAACGCTAAACTGGATCCAGTAATTCGCCGTCACCGCCGCAGACTACGGAGTACATCCACTAATTTCATCTCACCCCACAATCTCATACCTCGGCACTCCCCATACTGTTTGAGTATACCCCTCCACACACACACACCCCCATCCCCAACCCAATCAACACTCAATCCCCCTCTCAAAAGAGAAAGAAATCAATCAAAATGCCCTCCCTCCTCGAAGACCCCACCACCTACATCCCACCCCCCGCAATCGCAGAAACAATCTCGCAAACCCTCACCCCCATGACCAAAACCCTAAAAGACTCCACAAAAGTATCCCTCTACCCGATCGCGCACGGCGCGGCCTCAATCCCAAGCTCCTTGGTGAAGGTCCTGCACCGCGAATTCAGCGAGGAGATTGCGCGCGGCGCGACGTATCCGATGGAAGAGGCGATGGGGCTGGATCAGTTCGCGGGGTATTGGTTTGGGACTTTTGCGGTTGTTGCTGTTGTTGATCGGGATCATCATGCTGATGGACCTCCGGGGAGATGGTTACAGGGTCAAGAGGACAGGGATTGGGAGAGGGATTGTCTGGGGACGTTTTATGTGAAGCCGAATTATCCGGGTATGTATATTTTCCCTCTTTCTCTTTTATACTTTAGGGTTGGAGCTGTATATTTGACTATGTTGAGTTGCATTGACTTGGAGATTGAGGATGGTGATGGCAATGACAATGTTAACCAAATACTAGGACGCTGCTCGCATGTCTGCAACGCCGGGTTCCTAACCACGGCCGCAGCTCGCGGTCGAGGCGTGGGAATCGTAATGGGCGAGACATATCTAGAATATGCACCGAAGCTGGCAAGTCCCCTTTACATTAACCTCCCTCTCCCTCTTCCATGAGAACTACATGTCTAATAAGCTGACAGGGCTACAAATACTCCGTGTTCAACCTCGTCTTCGAGAATAACGTCGCATCCGTCAAGATCTGGGAGCGATTGGGCTTCAAGATCATCGGCCGGGTGCCCGGGGCAGCACGACTGGCGAACAGTCCAGACCTGGTGGATGCGTTGATCATTGGAAAGGAATTGGTTTGATCTGATGATTCAATTCTCTAAATAGAGAGGTGGATAGAAAGACACGAAAAGAAAGAGAGACTGTAAATACAACTCCAGATGATAGATTCCATAGATCCCTAAATGAAACACTGAATACATCATAAAATCAAGAACGCTAATCACAATGCGAGTGGGGAATCAAGCGCAATCTGTCCTGCAAACGACTTGGTATATGACTCCTCAAATCCCGGATGCTGATGATACATGCATGCAATGTAGTAAAAAGTAAAGACGAAAACCAAATCAACACGGCCGGAAATGCAAATACAAGGTTGAAAAGAAACCACCGCTAACGCCACCGCGGCCGCTCAGGAAGCTTACTACGATTCTCCGCAGCGCTGTCACGTCCGGAACGGCCCTTAGGCAGAGGAAGTAGGCTGATGCGACGGCTGCCCGAATGACCCAGGGCGGTGCCTGGACGATCAGCCTTGGTCGGACTGAGCAACCCATTGCTATACTGCTGCGAGACGCTGCGGTTGAAAGGCGTGCCGGCAAAGCTTTGCCGGTTGCGCGGCGTGTTGACCATGTGTTCTGTGCCCGCTGGTCGTCGCAGCTTGCTATACGGCGGAGGATCCAGAAGAGAAGAGCCGGGAGAAGGAGACGGCGGAGGCGCTGGGCTGCGCGACGTAAGCCGGCTAGAAACGCGGCTGACAGATCGACCGGCGGAGGGTGCCGGAGAGGCCGAGAGATCCCGTCGCGTCGACCGGGAGAAAGGGAGCGTGGAGGAGGGCCGCGGCGTACGGCCGTTGATGGTGGGGTTAGGGGCAGAGGACTTCCGAAATGGAGTGGTTTTGTACTGGTCCAGATCGGTGGTGTTCGTGGCGATATTCCATCGCGGACGGTTGGGGATGGGAGGTGCCGCAGGGCGCGCCACCGGTTTGCGGCCCACCGGAGTCGGCGTCGTTGAACCGTTCTTCGTGGGAGATCCTCCAAACGAGGGCTTGGGGAGCGCCGACTTCTTCCCCGTCAACGTGGCGGTGGCCTGGGGGAGCCCGGAGTAGCGACGGACCTTGGACATGGTCGTGCGAGCCGCCGAGCTGACGGAACTGCCCCGTCGACTGGATCCTATCGGCGTCGACGCTCCTTTGCGCGGGTTGGCCGGCGTCATCACCACCGACGAGGCCGGCGAGCTGCCCGGCGTATCGACCACGCTGCCGGTTGCCGGGCTGTCCATCGTGACGATACTCGAGATCGAATCACGCAAGTGCTGGCTCCGGGCGACGTGCACGTCATCCAACGAGGCGTCCATCACTTTGATACTAGCCTTCAGCGCATCCAGCCTAGACGTCATGTCCGATAAGAGCGTCAGGGTCTCCCCGTTTAGAGTCAGGCGGTCCTTGACCCCCTTCTGGATGATCGAGACCACGCGCTCGATCGCCGCCACGTAGTGCTGTTTCTTGGCCTCGTAGCTTTCGATGCGCTTAGCCAGCCCGGCGGGATTGTTGAACACGGCTCCTGACTCCAGTGCCTCCTGCAGTTTGGCGATGCTCCGCTCCACGGATTGGAACATCTTCTGCGCCTGTCCGCCGGCGTTGCGGAACACCAGAATCCACCGATCCTCGCTGAGTTCCTTGCGCAGGTCCTCAGCTTCCATCTCCAGCATCTTGTATCGCCCTTCCAGCCGTTCGATGCCCTGCTGAAGATCCTGGCAGGCGCTGGGAAATACCGCATCGGCCCGTGCTTGGAACATGGACAAGCGCATGGGCAGGAAATCCAACGAGGCCCGCAGCGGCTGAATGCGAGCGAACAGTCCGATCAGGTCCCCGTGGAAGTTATCCTCCTGGGGCGTGTGGATGATAGGGGTGTCGAGGGTGGGCGGAACGTTGAAGATGGGTTCCACGCTGAGTCGTTTGCTGGCTCGGTTGCCGCCGGGCGTTTCCTCCACGATCGTCTCCAGTTCGTTGATATCGACGCCGCCGGTACTTCCCGGCGACTGCGAGCCCTCCATGACCAAGTGCCGTTTCTCCTCCATCTGGAAGATCAGCTGGGCGAGGTTCCCGACCTCCGCGCCAACGTCTCCGAGAATGTTGTTCCAGAGCTCTTCCCACTCCATGGCCAGTTCCACCTGGCTCTTCACGGATCGCAGGCGCGATTTGATCTGCGTCCAGTGCTGAATGATAAAGTCCATCTGCGTGACAATCGTCTTCAAGCTTTCGGACGCCACGTTCTCGATGTCCGGTCGGAGTTGCACGTCTTCGATCGCTTTCACATACACGTTGATGAGGCCCTCAAACGTCATAATGGCGTTGTCCACGTCGTCCAGACCGTCGCGCCCTCCGGCGGCCGCCCACTCCACGTCATCGTCCGCATCCAGGCCCTCCAGCACGCTGGTCGCCTTTTTGATCCATATCTGGATCTGATCGGCGGCTCCCGTTAGAGACTTCACGGCCGAGGGTGCGGTCGGGATGGCGGCAATGCTCGACGCTAACGACGAGGCCTGTGGCAGAGATATGGAGGTGAGTTGGGAGAGTTGGTTGCTGAAGGAGGCTCGCGAGAAGGAGAAGATCGAATCGGCGCGGTGTAGGCTGCTAGGACGGAAATAGGCGGAGTTGCTATCCGATTCTGGAGGGGAGTCTTTGGGAGGAGGGGGCGGGGGGTTGTCGGAATCTTTTTCGCTGGTGCTCTGGATGTACTTTTCGAAATCCGTCGGTTCTTGCGTGGCAGGCTCCGGCTCCGGCTCCGTCTCTGGGATCGATTCGACGGGCGCGGGTAACGTCGATGCCGGCAAAGGTTCTGCGACTGACATGGCCGGTGGTTGGACTTCTGGTTCGGCGGGTGAGGTCTCCACGGGGTTCCACGTTTCGGTGGTCTCTATCGTATTAGTAGTATCAACTGCGTCTACCGGTTCGACCGATTCGGCGACTGGAGATTCTGCGGCGGCGTGCTCAACAAGCTGCGCGTCAGTCTCCGAAGGCAATAGCGTGGGTTCGTCCAAGGCCTCGCGTTCCAACGACTCCGTCGACGGCACGTCTAAGAACTCCGGCTCGATAACTTCCAGGAGGTCGGAGGAACCACCCTGATGTTTCTTGTCCTTGCCAATCAAATGGAGAGCATTCCACGAGCGACCTTTCCTCTCCACCTTGATCGACGTCGACAGGTTCTGGTGCAGAGTATCCAGCTCTTTAATGTGCTCTTCGGGGATGCGGCCCACGGCGCCGGGGCTGCGAGAATTGGCCGGGCTCTTGGTGTGACTGCCGTCTAGGAGTTTGACGCGAGCTGCCAGGCCCGGAGACAGTCGCCGCAGGATAGACGGGCGGATGAGGGATTTGTCGGAACCGGGCTGTTCGGGCGTCTCATCGGAGGGATCTTCGTCGTTTAGACTGCTGCCGAAACTCCGCACGCTGCGTAGGGAGGATTTGGATTTGAGGCGTCTGGTGAAGGAATCGTCTGGGGTGGAGACGGAGAGGGCAGGAGGAGGGGGCGGAGGAGGCGAGGAGAACTCAGGCTCATGTGGTGGTGGTGACTGTGGTTGCTGTTGCTCTGGGTTCTGCAGCTCTTGCGACGTGTTGAGACCGGGATCTGTAGGGTCAGAGGTAGTCGACCCGGCGAACATGGCAAGCATGGGGGAGAATGCAATGCGCGAGACGACTGCCCTATGGCCGGAAGAAAAGGAACGCACAGCAAATGAAAAAAATAATAAAAATGAAAATTGCGCGAAAGTCAGGCAAGAAAGAGGGAACAGAGAGAGGGGGGGGTGTGGAGGAGAGAGCGAGTGAGCGAAAGACAAGCCAGAGGGAAAAGGTGAAGGTGGGCTGCGGAATGTCGGCTTGACCAACGCTTCTCCGGGGCGGTTCGCCGGAATGCTGGACGCCCCTTTCTTTGAGGCCCGTGAGGCACTAAAGACCGAAGGTATGTACTCAGAGAGACCGTGGTCTCTCGTTTGCTTTGCTCTTCTTCTGGTTTCTGGTTTCTGGTTTCGTTTTCTTCTGGCTTCGGGCTGGCCTCTCTGCAAGTGGAGTCTTCGCAGTGAACAGCAAGAATGAGTGGACTCCCCTACACCGTAGTTACATGATCCGGTGGTTGGGACGCAGAAGAAGCGGTCTTTGGGCAGAAAAGAACAACAAGTCTCGAATTAAATTCGGCTGGATCGACGTCGTACAAATAGGTAACTAGCAAAGAGTCTTGATGCCTCCGTTTTATTCTCTACCCGGGCGTCTCCTTTATCTTCCTTTTGGCCCTTTCGCCCTGTCGGCGCGTCGTCTGCATCGCCCTCCTAGTCTGGAGATGTCTACGCCTTGGTAGGGATGAATATTAGTTTCTCCTTCATTCTTCTTCGGGGTCAAATAGTAATAGAAGAGTAATAAGAATAATAATTAATATGTACACCTCATCTGCCTCGTGCCGGGCCCCAATTCCAGCCCAATCATAACACACTTCCCCATCCGGAATCCATGTCCCCGTATAATAATAATGTAATAACAACAAGAATAGACGAAGTAGAAATAAGATCAAATACAGTAAATAGTTTCAAATCAAGTCCGGTCAGCTCAGGTCCAACCATAATAAATCCAAGTAAATCAACCAGTCTGTCGGTCCCTCAGGGGATGCGATAGACTCAAGCCAAGTAAGGGGGTATCTAAGGGAAGGGCTGCAAACAACGAAACGTAAGAGCCAATGAGGGGGGGAAAAAAAGAGAGAAAAATCAACAAGAAAAAACAAGAGAAGTAAAACCAGGACGGTTAGAAAGAAAATGTATCATACGTGGTTCCAATCTTCGGAACCAGACGGTACTACTCGCCCTGGTCAAGAGAAAAAGCTGTCACGCGTAGGAGGTCTTGCAGTGGACGGCCGGCGCGGCGCCTGCCAGTCGCGGATCAGCTCCTCGCGTACTGCTTGACACCACGTTAGCAGGGCGGCGTCGAATTTCCTCCACGCCTCGTCGCTGTTCCCCTGCACCACGCCCATGACGTCCATCTCCAGTTTCGTCTCCCATCGGATCTCGGCCGCCTTGACCCAGAATCGGAGATTTTCTGCCCGTCGGTACGGTTTGGCAACGTCCTCGTGATACGATTTGATCTCGCAGAACGGCCGAGCGGACTTTCGCACCGCCTGGTTATGGATTCGCACCAGGTCCCGCCCGTCACGCAGCCGGTCCAGCATGGCGCTCGGCAGGGATCCCTCGTCCGGAGCGGTCCACGAGGGTAAAGGAGAGTCGGAATCCAACAAACTGCGCAGGAACGCTTCTTCGCGTTCCCGCTCTCGTCCGGTCCAGTCGCCGTCGGCCCACGACCAGGTCCGTCGTTCTGCCGCTTCCTTTTGTTCTAGCTGGATCTCTTGGGCCAGCATATCCCGCACATTGGTGATCCACCCGAGAATGGACGCTTCTTCCTCCCCGCGGAGTCCGCCGGAGAAATTGCGCGAGGCCCACCGTTTCATGATCTCGAGGACGTTGAACAGCTCCTGCCGGATCTCGCGCTCACTTTTGATCGACGCCAGTCGCTCTGGACGCTCGTGAGCGGTGTAGTAGATCTTGGCTGCGCGAATGGCTAGCGTAACCACGTCTAAAATGCGCATCCCTCGGATCTCCTGCCAGCCCTGAGGGGTAGCCTCCGCGGGAGGCGGAGGCGCGGGTTCGTCGTCGGGGTCGGCCAGCCCGTCCGGCGAGAGACTGATGCGCGGGGGGTTCAGGTCGGGTGGCGGCTCCTTCTGGGATCCGAGGGTCTCGATGCTCTTCTCGGCCTTGTCCAGCGCTCTCCGCAGGTTCTTGCGCAGGGCTAGTAGGTCGGGTGGCGGTGGAATGTGATGGGTCTTGATACTGTAGGTGCTCACGGTGGGAGGCAGCATCATGTCGTCGGGCTCCTCCAGGCCGCTGTCCTCTTCCGCGGAACTCAGCCCGGCATCGCTCGTGGGACTAGCCGTCAGATCGTCGATGAACCGTGCATTAGGGGTCATCAACAACCGAGGTTCCTCCTCCGGGTTCGCCTTCTTCTTCTTATATTCGCGGGCATGGCCACCTTTGCCGTCCAACAGGCCAGTCCGGGCAAAGTAGTATTGCAGGTGGGCGATACTGCCCAGACTCATCACGCTCTCCCGGTTCTTTGCTGACTCGGCGAATTCGGCCCCCTGGGGCCGAATGTAGCCACGGCGTTTCGACGAGATTGACACGGAGGATCGAGCATCGGCAGAGGTGGCGGACGAGGCGGACAGGGAGGAGAGGGTCGAAAAGGTTGAGAAGGTGCGATCCGGAGATGGACAGGAGGAGATGGCGGGCGTAGGGCAGATGGACGGGGAGGGTGACGACGCACGGTGTGGAGGGGCGAACTCAGACTCGACCGATTCGTCCATGACGGCGGAGATGAATTGCCTTGACTCGTTTTTATCGGGCAGAGAAAGAGGGGAAGAGGTGGAAGAGAGAGAGAGAGAGAGAGAGAGAGGCGACAAAGAGCCAGAAAGAGGGGAAGGAGTGAAGGATCCTAGGAGATAGATCGCGATGATATCGCCGGAAAGTATCAGATATATCGGGAGGGCAAAGACGCGACCAGAAAGGACAGGTGGTCGTCGGCTCGATAACCGTTTCGGCGAGGCACAAAATAGGGATGCGTCACCGATGGAAATGGAAATGAATGATCGATCGACGGAGCGAGAATAATCTTGGGAGGTTCGAAAGGGGGGGCTTTTTTTTCCACTAAAAGGGGAAGCGGGTCGATAGTCCGCCTGCCAACACGTCGATGGGAGGGCTTTTAATTAAGGATAGACGGGTATTAATAGAAATTGGCCGTCGTTTCTTTTTAGTTCTGTTCCTCTGCTGTCCGTCGAGTACCAATTTCCACACTGCCGGGACCTGCCCCTGAACAAGACCAGGGCCCCTCCCCGATCCGAGATATCCAGGCGAGCTTTCGTCGTGAACAGTTGAACTCCTGAGTTTTTGTGCTCTTTTTGACGCTTCAACTGCCTTGTGGACACTTTCCCTCTTGGAGTTTAGCGCACTCCCCGTGCCTGGCCGCCCCGCATTTTAGTTCGACTCTGTTGAGGTTATTGCGAAGATGAATGTCATCTGCAAGGGCCACAGACAGCCTGCATGCAGCCATGCTCTAGAGCATCATGAACATCATGAACATCATGAACATCACGAATACCATAAACACTGTGACCACAAACGAGAGGAGTTGACATCTATAATACAATGTGAATAATCATACAGTCTCCCATCAATTGACAAAAACCCAATTGCGCCCATGCGGAAACCCCACCGGGTTGAACCAGCAACCGACGATGAAACAACCTCGGAAACTCCGTGCTGACCAGAAGATCCCCAAAAAGAAAGAAACTCAATTATCCCCGATCAATACCAGTCTTCAGATGATATCCTCTCTCTCCCATCCGGTGGGTTTCAGGTTTTCGATGCCTTTGCCAGGATGCGCCTTGGTCAGGTCCTTGTACTTGGCCGAGTACGGATTGGGATCGGCCCCTTGCTTCAGGTTACCCAGAGTGTGGTTGACCTCTCGGTGTTTGGCCTCGTCCGCCCGAACGTAGAGAAGGAGGTCCTTCATACTGCGCTGGCCCTCCGGCATTTGCCAATAGGAGATGGCAATCTTGGGGGCGTCCAGCTTCTCCCACTCGGGAAGCTTACCGGCTTCGATCTCCTGGATCGCCCGAGTATAGGTGATCACCGCCTCCTCTTCCAAGTATCCGACGAATCTATGGCAAATGCGGGGCGAAATCAAGTAGGAGATGAAGAATCCGTTGAAGAACACCCCCTGGGCACCGAGCACCATCATCCGCATGAACCATCCGGGCTCGGCGAGTTTGAGGAAGGTGAGCAAATGCATCCGCTCATTGAACGCCTCTTCCAGCAGGGTCTCGATCCTATATCCTAGTCAGCTTCTCGGATCTTATAGTCCGCATCCGACACCTTGGTCCACTCACCATCCGTTGTCCCTCTTCATGCGCCGCAAACTCCTCAAGTGTCGCAACATTCCGCCCACCATCCCCGGCACACCCGCCACGCTCTCCAGGAACACAAAACGGGTGAGCCACTTCTTCTCGGTCATCTTGAACTTGGCCTCGTTTTCCCTGCCCGGGGGAGGATGGTGGTATCCGGTGACCAGGTCCATCCCCCATCGCAGCAGTCGCACGGTTCCCAAGGCTACCCAGTCGGGCCAGTCCTTGGCTTGTCGGTGGGCAATCGTGACTTTCTGCATCTGGTCGTCGGTGTAGCTGTGATGAACCAATCGTCAGCATTTCTGTGGCACCAGAAGAGGTCTGATCACGGGGTGGCTTACACCGGGTGATTCCAGGCGGTTTCCAATTCTTTGATATGCGGCGCCTCGGGTGGCGGGAAGAACTCCTTAATCTTGGTCGGATGCGGGGTGGACGAGATCAAACGTTTGGGGTTCGTCTGGTGGTGACGAGGGTTGGCGAACAAGGAACTGCTACCGCGTAGCCCTGTCGTGGCAACGAGACTCGTATACCCTCGCAGCGTAAGGTGCAGGTGGGACTTGGGCAGGTAGACGGCCCGCATAGGTGCCGTGGCTGTTATGGAGTTCATCTTGGTCGATAATCCCAAGTTTATCAGTTTGGTTGTGGTAGACAGATAAGTAGGTAGGTGAGCAAGTATAGCCAATGCTATGTCTAGTATAGAAAGAATCTTGATGCGATGATGTCTATGAACACAGTACAACCTCGTCCACGGCTACTGCCGTATTTATACCAAACCCCATCACTCCTATTTAAAGAACAAGAAAGACAAAAAAAAAATCTATCAGATCGCATATGGCAAAAACCGGGAGCACACCGGGACCTAACAAAGGCAGAAATGTCATCGGGGGCTGGAACCAGCGAAGAAGCAGTCAGAGCCAAACCCGGTTTACGTAGGGAACCTCAGGCAGGAGGACCCTCCCTTGCTCGTTCCTCCCCGACAGGAACCACTCTAGAACCATCGGAACTTACTTCAGAGTAGGTCCTGTTCAGGCCTTACCAGCGCTCCCTCCCGGTATGTCGCTGCACGTCGGCCCTCCCCCACAATAATCGCCATCTGGGATTTCCCACCCGGCCGCTTGATGTCATGATCATCTCCCTCGAACTGGAAGCAACTCCAACAAGCTCCCCATTATCCCCATGGCCATCGTGGAATCGACGTCGCTGTCGGCGTAAGTTTGCGCATTTCACGGGAATACCAGGTGTGTAATTTAGGAAATACGAAGGGCGGGCAGGTGACCGCGGAATGAATCGGGAGGCAAGTCTGAGTCAGAACGGGACGCCGATGAATTGTCGGGATTGCTGGGATTTTCCGGGATTTCTACTAACATGAACCTACACCGTAGATTCTTTTCAGTATTACTCATATGGGTTGGGTCTATTTTTTCTTTCTTACAAATTTCTGTACGGTGATTTCCCGGCCTGCTGAAAAAGCGTTCATTCTTACGTCAGGTCCTCTGGCTCTTTTTTCCTGCGCCATGTTTGGTGGACCAGATCCCGAACTACTACTGTCTCCTACTGAGATGTGGTTCGTGAAACCGGCCGAGAAACTGCAGATCCTGAGATCAAGGCACGACGAACCCTTCTCTACAGTGCACTATGTGTACTCCGTACGGTGTAAGGGTTGCCGTTCTTAAAGTGACGTTGTCCTCTCCCTAGTTTTGCAGTCCAGTTCTTTCTGGGGGTCTACAGTATCACTGTCAGGGTGATGTTTAAACAGCCTATTTTAAGGTACTAGCTTACGCCCATATATAAGCCTTACTATTCGTCAATCCATTCGAGCAAATTATAACCCAAGCAATCTAAACCAACCCAGCTCACCGGTTATTCTGCTCTAATGCTCTCGTCCGATTTGTGTCGTTATCATACTGTGTATTTTCATGTGTATATCCATACTATCGTGAATCCTCGCCCAGTCGAGCAGTCGCCGATTGCAAACCCAATCCATCAAGTCGTAGCATCAAATGCCGACTCCGAAGTCCGTTTGACCCCGAACTGACTCTCCCCTTCTTGTAGCTCAATCCCCTTCTTCTCCACCTTGACTACGTGCGCTAGACGCGGCCCGTTGTTGATTTCCTTGAGCAGATTTTGGATCGCCTCGTCGGGGCCTTGGGCTTCTCCTTCGACCTGGGGGTGGGAGTTAGTACTCCAAGAGTGCGTGTTCTGCTGTGTGTACTGTACAGGGAACTGGTGTGGTTCATTTGTAAGTGATGAGTGGGTAGAGATGAACGAACCCTTCCGCAAATGGTGTTCTTGACCCAACCCTTCAGATCGAACTGGGTGGCTCGCTTTTGGGTGAAGTCACTGTTTATATCGGTGAGTTTTTGTCCATCGGCCGGATACATATAAACAGTAGATGCAAGACGTACCGGAACCCGACACCTAAAATACAATGCTATAATTAGAATGTTTGCACCCTATGTCTAGACCAAATATGATGCTATAACACATCAAGTATTCTCCGACCCTACGAGATCAGGGACTTGCCTTGTACAGTGCCATGCACTTTGAATGCAATCTGCGGATCTATTAGCCAATTGTCCGAGATGACGTAGGGCACGGTCAAGGAAGCTGTAATTTTCGATATTTAAGCGGGGCAGGGGCGTACTCTTTGCTGTGCCATATTGATCTCTAGACTCGAATCGGGATCTCTAGAGGAGATGAGAGGAAGAGGATGAAGCACTCTGTAGATGCCCTCATGATGCAATGGGAAGGGCAACGTGGATGACTCAGCACATGTGGTCGTTGCCGATCTGGAAGACTCGTCCCGAAGGGGATAAGCGGCCCAGGCACCTCAGGCACCAATCACAGAAGGCGTGTTGGCCTTAGTCATCGCACCCCAAACGGGCAAGAGCGTTCATTCACGCATCGTCGACGAATCTCAGGATTCGATAAGTCGATTCTCTCAGAAATTTGACATTAGAATACGTTCACGGCCTCAAGCTGCTGTGTCATGAACCGCTTGTCAGAGTGTGTCGCCAATTAGCCCCTCTACTTCCCTCCGCCATCGCCTAGACTCCGCCCCTGAGCCGACGAACCCCCGAGTTAATTGAACTCTCCGCATTGATCATTCCCCTCCGCGCTTCTCTGACGAGCTCGGCCCCGTCATGCTGGCTTGAAGATGCCTTCTTCGATATTCTCTCGGCTACGACAGCTGTATACACTTGACACCCTCGATACCAGATTAACCGTTCCCGCCACGACTCCGCTGAAGGCGGCCGCTGACACGCGACCTGCGACTGCCAAAGATGCCCGTGCCCAGGCCATCGCCAACGGTGCTGAACCGTCGAAATGGCGCACACCCGAGTTCTACGTCTATTATTTGGTCTTCCTGGTCGCTGTGCCGTTGATGTTTAAGGCGGCCATTGAGGTGTCTCAGGGTATGGTTTATCCGCCTGCCGGAAGCTTAGAAGAAGTGTTAATGGAAGCGATATAGAAAGTCATCCGAGTTATTCGACCTACGCCGACTTGTTGTCCCCTGGCTGGGTGCCGGGTCGGAAAGTGGTATGTTTGTGGTTTCTGCCTCTGGATTGTTGCGAACGCTGGCTAATGTTCTCGCGCGCGTGAACAGGACAATTCGGACGCCCAATACTCTACCTTTCGTGACAACATACCCTATCTTCTCGTGCTGCTGGTCGCCCATCCACTGCTTCGTCGCGTACATGAGAAGTTCACCAGCTCGTCCGGCGCCGAATCGACACTGAGACCGAATGTAGCTGCGGCTGGAGAAGCCCGGCTCAATCAGCGGATCCGATTCGACTTTGGCTTTGCCTTCATCTTCATAACCGCTCTTCATGGCGTGTCTGCGATCAAGGTACTCGCAATTCTGTATATCAATTATAAAATTGCCAAAACGCTCCCGCGGAAGTATATACCTGCAGCTACGTGGGTGTTCAACATCAGCACGCTATTTGCCAACGAGTTGTGTGCCGGCTATCTCTTCGAGCGCATCGCTGCTTTGTTAGTGGCCCCTGCAGATGGCACAGGTCAAGAGGCTCCGTTGGTGTCATGGGGTCGGTATATTGATGGATTTGGAGGGCTGATTCCCCGATGGGAGATTCTCTTCAACATCACGGTCCTACGGTTTATCAGCTTCAACATGGATTACTACTGGAGCCTAGATTATCCCGCTGCCAGCCCCGTTGAAGTAAGTTTGAGGTTGTCTCATTTAAAGGACGTCGATATCTGACAGTCATAAGAAGAAGCAGCTCGATCCTGCATCACTCTCGGAGCGTGATCGTGTCAGCATTCCGGCTGAGCCGTCGGCGTTCAATGGCCGCAATTACGTCGCCTACATCCTCTATGCGCCGTTATATCTGACCGGTCCCATCTTGACCTTCAACGACTATATCTCTCAACAGAGATTTCCTCCCCCTTCAATCACCCGTACCCGCACCATCCTCTACGGGACCCGCTTCTTCCTCACCCTGCTCTCAATGGAGTTGGTCCTTCATTATACCTACGTCGTGGCCATCTCCAAAGCCTCTCCCAACTGGTCCCTCTATTCACCCTTCCAACTCAGCATGCTAGGCTACTTCAACCTGCACGTCATCTGGCTCAAACTCCTAATACCATGGCGCCTGTTCCGCCTCTGGGCCCTGATCGACGGTATCGACCCACCCGAGAACATGGTCCGCTGCGTATCCAACAACTACTCCGCGTTCGCCTTCTGGCGCGGCTGGCACCGCTCCTTCAACCGCTGGGTCGTGCGCTACGTCTACGTCCCACTCGGCGGCGGCCGCGGAGGGTCCAACAACAACAGTAAACCTACTTCGACCCTGTTCATCCGAGCCCGCCATATCTTCAACTTCCTCATGGTCTTCACCTTCGTCGCCCTCTGGCACGACATCAACCTCCGTCTCCTCATATGGGGCTGGCTCATCACGCTCTTCGTCCTACCTGAAATCATCGGCACTTTGCTCTTCCCTGCCTCGCGCTGGCGGTCCCGTCCGACTGCTTACCGCGTCATCTGCGGCGTCGGCGCCGTCGGCAACATTCTGATGATGATGATCGCGAACTTGGTGGGTTTCGCGCTGGGGTTGGACGGCCTTCGCGGTCTGTTGACCGAGATGTTGGGTTCGTATTCCGGGATCGTTTATCTGGTCGTTGCTTGTGCGGCGCTTTTCGTGGGCGTGCAGGTCATGTTTGAGATTCGGCAGGAAGAGGCCCGTGCGGGGATTCATTTGAAGTTTTGATTGAAGATTAGATGGAATGTATGTATACATAGGGTAGCTTTATACCGGGAATATTTATTTCGATGGTTTGGAAATTATGTTTCTTTATGAATGCTATATATACAGTAAAAGGGGTATATAAACTATTAACTAAAACTTGAAGTCGGTTGCTGTGGTTGCTGTGCCCCATGATTTTCGCATCCTTTATCCGGCCAGGCGCGGATATTGTCGCCCCATGCCCTTGACAGTCCTTTGGCAAGTAAGTTCCTCGGAGATCGAGAGCAGCTCGACGTAGACAATTCCTAGGACTCGCAAGAGACGAGATCCTTGATTAGGAAAAAGGCACACCCACTAAAAGAAAGTCCCACATCTCGAATCCTCATGCACTTTATAACAATCCAACCCACAAGTCCTGAGGTGACAATTCTTGCACCGAATCTTCCCCCAGTATCCACACATGCAGCAGAAATGGCGCTTCGATTTCATCGTCATCGGCGGGCCCGCTCGCGACGCATTATATGTTAACGGGGGCTCGGCCAAGAGCGCCTGCATGATGCGCTCCGATGGCGCGGAGGGGATATACGATCGTAAGAGCGGGTCATTGTCGTGAGGGGAACGGATGAGTTCGTTATTGGGTTTGGGATCGTCGTCTTGTCCTTCGGGTTGGTTTCCTTCGTCGTTGTTGCTGGCTCCTTCTTCCGGTTCTCCTGCTGCTGCTGTTGTATCTGCCTGTGTCTGTGTCTTCTCGTCCGCGGGGGGAGCAGCAACCTGCTGAACGGCCGGTGTCGTTGACGTATTCCGTGACGCGGACGACCGTGCAGATGACTGCTTGTTCTTCTGTCGGGAGGAGGGGTCTGCGCCTTTAGACGTCGTGGTGGTACCAGTAGCTGGGGTTGAACTTCTGCGCAACGACGACGGTTTGGTGATTTTGTTATGTCCGTGGATGGATGGTCGCTGGGCGTTCGAGGACTGCGTGGTGGCCTGCGCGAGAGCGGCTTCTTCGTCGTCGAGGTAGTTCCGGAAGGTCTTTTGGGATTGGAGGATGCGGCGCACGTTCGATGTTACTTTGCCTCGGGTTCCTGTGTGGGGATATTGTGTAAGCCTGATGAATTTAGATGTATTACTAGCCCCGGGCCTTCCTCTTCCTTGTTTGTAAAGGAAGAAGAGTTGCGGGTGGAAGTACCGCTGGCGCAAAGGTCCAGCCAGGCCAGGGTTGAATAAACTAGGACATGGAAGAGAGGCAGGGGGGGATTGAATCTACCTCTACCGGAATCCTTCGATTTCGTCGGGACAGGAATATGTACGTCTCTATGATTCTCGCGATCCAGCTCAGCCAGGTGCCGAACGATGGCGTTGGTCTGTCGCGACGAGAGATCGGCGCGGCCACCTGGGTCGCGGATGCCTCGTTTCCGACCGATGGCGGGCGTGATGGCGGCTTTGGCGGGGTCGAAGCCCCGATCGGGCACGTAGGTCCATCCCGGGGTGAGATGGGTCGATGAATTCGGTAGCACCTCGACGGAGTACATGGTGTGGGTGATGGCGATTCTTTCGTTGGGTCGGAGGGATCAAAAAGACGGAACGGATGAGAGGCCGCGGGAGGCGGAAAAGAGGCGCGTGTGTTTGCAGTGTTTGCACATTACAGTCTTGGCGATTGTATGACGCAGTTAGGCCTTTGGAGGGAGGAGGGGAAGTTATGGGTTCTGCAGTGTTGTTCTTCATGATTTGAAAGTGGGTTGATATTCTTTTTAATGGTAAGAAGAATAATGTTACAAATATGGATATAAGAGGGCACGCGTTGGGAGAGGAAAAGGTCACCCTCATGCTGTCATTCCTACAATTCGCCCATACAACACAGATAACTGCACTTATAGATGATAGCCTGCTCAAGACGCCGGAAAAACTCAAAAACAAGACGCAAGGAAACGGATAAAGGACTTTGGGGTAACGACCGTAGAGTAGCGTATGTGTGTCGGTATCTCATTTCTTCTTAAGCTGGTCGACTTTCGATTCCAGCTCCCCGATGTATATCTGCAGTCTATGCGTTGCGGATTGGAGTGCCTGGTAGGTCAAGTCAGCGATTCCATCTCGGCTGAATGGGCGCATGAGGGATATGACTGGGGAAGGTTCTAGTATCACCCACGCCCAAGCAAGCTCTCCGCCAGACAGCGAGGTCCAAACATATAAAGGAAAGAGCCAGGACACAGACAAAGTCAGATGGCGAAGAAGAAGATGCAAGTTAGCGAATAGAGCCAAAGCCAAAACTTACACTTATATCTTCACTCAATATCTCGTTCGACGCCCGGTATTCTCGCAGGATGTAATAGTACACGGAAGCGCCGGCAGTGAGGGAACCGGCGAGAAACCCAACCAGTCTGCGGAGGGAGGTCAATTTACACTGGATGTTACACACGAGAAACAAGGCCCATTGGCACTCACCCTCCACGGAATGCCCCAACGGGCTTCTTAGCGGGCAGCGACGAGGTGGCGACGTTCCTCATGGATGCCGAGCTGGAGAAGCTCCGTGCGGAGACAAGTCCGCGCGCCATTGCGACAGAGCGCATTGAAGGTAGCGCCGTCTTGAGAGCAAACATTATTCAGAACTTGTTAAATAGAGTCTAAGGGGTAGTAGGTCAGTTAGTCAGAGCATCTCGCAGTGGCAAGGAACAGGGACGTGATCACCTTACAGGGTGTAAAAGCCAGAGAGAAAGGGGAGGCGGAGGGTGAAGGAGCAGTGACGTTGGCGCCTCCCATTGGGGAAGATGTCATTAGTCAGCGAAGACCGTTGCAGGCTATCCGTAACGGGTTAGCGCAGACTGACCATGTTGACTGTATTACTAATATCCTGATATCCTGAGCTAGCTACACATTATTCTCGACTGCAAGCAACTGAACATGAACAACAGAACAATACCACCCATCTATGTCATTCTACCCATACAAGAATACAAAATGATACCACCAAACCACGTGATTCTACCAATACAAAAAAGACCAAAACGCCCTCGTGCCCCTTTCGCGATACACCCGATGGGCAGGATCACGAGGGAAGATGATCTACCCACCACGCATTTGGTCGAGACATGTATTGCACCATGTTCGGCAGATACGTATCGATGTTCCGTCTTTGGTTGAGAGAAAGATAAGTCTCCCCCAGGACCTTTGCGTTTTCGGTCATGTTCGTCGCATCTATCCCATATTGCCAACATTTCCGACGGTTGGCTCTCTCGGAGCAACAGTGTATCTTCATCACCGCTAATTCCAGGGGTGTGGCGAGTGGCACCCAGTTGGGTGCTAGGAGCCGCACGGGGATGGCTGCAGTCGGGATGACCGGTGACAAGAGGTATGTCAGCTGAATGCGATCTATGGAAAAAGGTGAAAGACGGTTCAACTCACTAATTCCTCCGGCATGAAATCCACCTTCATCCATTTGCCGTCTTGCTCTCCTTGCAAGAAAACCCTGGCTTGAAAAGAACCCTCTTTTTGGCGAAATCCATCGGCATCATGTTGCATGAGTTGGTGCTTTATAAACTCGGGTACCCCGGTTGGTCCCTCTGTAATAAGGGTTTCGCGATTGACACCGGCCCGGTTGGCTTGGCTAATTCTTCGGTTGATATGATTGACGAGATGGGGGCTTAACACCACTGCAGAATTCACGTCCTGTCAAGAGCATTAGCCAGGCTTGCCGTGCATGATATAGGACCTATATCTGCTAACTTACTTTGGTCTTCCTGCGTGAATCATACTTTCGCACTGCCACGCCGCCAATGATGGCGACTTTCGCGTCTCCAAGGTATTGGTTACCTTGCATCGCCGCAATGACGCGGCGTGAAGCTTCCATTTGGTGGGCTAGAGTGGGGTACATCTTGAATGGTCAAGAAAGTTGAGTGTAATGGTACAAGGACCAACACAGGGGGGCAGACTCTGGGTTGTTTATATGTATTTGCCAGTAGCATTTGCATTATGCACAGTTCAATTATCAATGGTTTCTTTTACCCAGCATAACTGTTATGAGCACTGGTAACAACAGTACATGTTATTCGGCCATTTAATGCTAACCACGACCCGGCGCATATGGCTACGCATGAATATATCAATGATCACGTCGTATCTGCGAGACTGTCATCGCCAATGCCAATCAAAGGCCGCCACATCTCACCCGTAGAAAGACAGGACAATCACCAGGACCATCTTTAGATTTATCTTGCTTCATCTCCCACTTTCATGCTTCCACTATGTATCAAGCAAGATAGTCTCCAGTATTGAGATCTCGCAAAAAAACAACTATCATGGACCGACCGACTCACGTTATCGACCCAGACGGCGAAGTTATAATAGTTCTACAAAATCCAAATGCTCCTTTTGCGGAACTAAGTGAAGCTCTGACCAGCGACAATTTTACGTATCTACTACCCGGACCAAGCGATAAAATCCAGAATCCGCGGAAGGGATTGAAGCTTTGAGAAACGAGCCGAGAGATACGCTTAAAAAGAGGAGGAAAAAGAAGAAAGGATCTACTTCTGGCTGGCATGCTGTTCACGATCCATCCGAACCTATTCACCCGCCAGTTGAAGAGCCTGCTCCTGAATGGCCCGCGGCCGAAGAACCCGTCGCAGAGCCCGCTGAAGAGCCCGCTGAAGAGCCCGTCGACGAACCTGCCGAACTTGAACAGCCAGAGGAAAACTGCTTCCGTATCCAAGTGTCCGCGAAGCATTTGATACTCGTCTCAGTCTTTAAGAAAATACTCACTGGTGGTTGGAAAGAAAGCATTACTTATTTACAAGAAGGCTCAGTTAAAATCACTGCAGATAGCTGGGATCTCGACGCGCTCTTGCTTATGCTTCGCATAATACATTGTCAGTCCTATCAAATACCGCGGAAACTGACGTTTGAGATGCTCGCGAAAGTTACTGTTTTGGCCGACTACTACAACTGCAGGGAGGCTGTAGTCTTTTTACAGATACATGGATCAATGCTCTGGACGATATTATTTCAACAACATATTCTAAGGACTTGATGCTCTGGTTATGGGTTGCCTGGTATTTCTACCTCCCTGCCAAGTTTAAAGAAGCCACCTCAGCTGCCATGTCATTGAGTAACGGCTGGATCGATAATCTCGGGCTCCCAATCCCCGATGATATCATTAGTACGGGCACTTAAATCCTCAGATATGTTTGACTACTAATTGAAAGCAGGATCGATGATGGATCAAAGACAGGGAGCGATCGCTAGCCTAGTTCTTTAACTCGATCAGACGCGCGATAAACTCCAAAGCGGCAGCAAAGGGTATAGCTTCGAATGTAGCTCAATTAGGTATGGAGCTCTGACAAAAGAAATGCATTTGAACGCTATACTTTCGCCGAGACCTGTAGCTCCTTTCCCGGATTTGAGCTACAGATCCCTCGCGCAAAGAGTGTTATCGTTCAAATCGCCGGCATGGTACAGTCCAAACTCGTATTATCCCAGATACTAGCACAACTGTAATTACTCTACATTTACACTGCTTTTTTGGCGTGTTGGAAGATATCATTGAAGGCCATGACCTGGATAGTTCTATCCATGTGTAGTTAGGGAACTACCCAATTTCATCTTGTCGTTGATAGTTTGTGGCCTACCAGAATAAAGAGTATTCCTGTCCAACCTAACGCCAGCCCGGCAATTTCCATGAAGATTTCGTGATAAGGATATCTTGTGTGCCCCCAAAAAAGAAAAAAAGAAGAAGGAGAAGACTACCAGGGGATCAAAAGCGGAATAGTTCAGGCACAAGAAGGATGGTGGAGAGATGGTCCGTTTTCTCGTGGATTCATTGCCCCGGGGAGGATGTTGCTTTTGCAGGACAAGACCACGGTTGGCCAGACTGACGTAGCTGTCACCTTTGGATATTTCCAGACTTCTGATTTGTTGCTGTATCCCCAGGTTCAGATATGACAGGGATTTCAGGCTCGCTCCGAGTAGCAGTTTCATGGTTAACCACTCGCGGCAAAAGACGAGCAGATGATGCGGTAGTTAAAGGGCTTGTATTATATAGTTTATCTGATCTTCTGGGGCTAAGGTTGCATGGAGTATCAAACATAGCTACGCCCTAGACCAGATTAAGAGAGCAGTCCGGAATACCACACAATTTAATTCACATTTAGTAGTTGGCTTTAGCCCGGTTATTAATTAGGCATAATTTGAGATCATATAGGCGACCGATAATCCTCACATACCGACATATGAGATCTTCCTAGGGCGCCGTCATTAATGTCCTAGAGGGCTCAGGAAGCCATTGCATTCTCCAAAAACTTCATGTGGGACGTGGTTGCCGATTTGAGGGGCAAAATTTCAGCAGCGGAGAAGCCGCAAAGTCCGAGCGTTAATGCTATGCCATCCCTGTAACCTACTAGGGTAGTATTATCCGCGCGATATCTTGATAAAACTCATGCAACTGTGCCAGAAACACCGCATGTAGTTTGTTAGCGATAATATCTACGCTCTATCGCCGACTTCATTTCGGCGCTGTTTATCGATCCGGCGGGGATTATTAACCCGCAACTGGTCTATGGATTATGGGGCATGAGCAAGGACTTTGGTGCGAATGGGATACTGCTCGAAGTGATTATCTCATGACCCGTTAAACATTTCTTTGTCCTACTAATACAAACGAGTTCTACCGAGTGCGGAATAATTTGCCTAAGATACTATAATAAACTGAACCTGACTAGTCAGGAAGGCTCGGCAGATAAAAGTAGGAGTAGAAGTAGAGGGCTACTTGGCAATGTAACACCGGGTGAAGGTCCGTACTGATTTCTGACACTAGCTCAGCTGTATGCCTATTAAAGGGTTCAAGCCATTCGGAAAAAGGGCCTGAAGGTAGGACGACACGGGCGCTAAACTTACATACAGCGGTGGGTCGGACTATGAATTCCTTCTGGCCTCTTGGTGAAAGTACGATGCATGAGCTGCAGTCCGATCTGCAGCCTGAACAGGAACATGTGAGCTATCAGGTTTTGCACGGACCTTCTGTCTCACTCTAATCTGGGATGCTGAAGGTCTGTGTTTCAAAGCCAGAGTCAATGGGGAAGCTATTTGGAGGATAGACTGAACTGCGAAATGTTGATCCATTGTAAAAAGTCCTCAAAGATAGCAAACTAGTTGGTCATAGAGATCGAGAATCACCAATCAAAGCCACATCACAGCCCGGGATTGACCATAATCTCATGAACGTCCACCTTGTTGGATCCAATCCCCCAGATATCGCAAATGCCGCCGAAATCCCCGTACGCAGGCTGAGCATCCGGTGGCTTGCTGTTAAACCGGAACAAGACAAGACATCGCTTCCCTTGGACTTTGTTTCGCACGTCTAGGTCCTCCAGGGGAAGAAACCACGCCCCGTGGATCCGATCTTCATCCTCCGGTCCGGCAACCCGTGGAGTCACGATGCGCAAACCGTCCGAGTTCTGGCAATAGTGACGGAACCACACATCGTCCTGCTTCTCTCCGCTGTAGACGACCAACGTTCCGCCTCCATCCTCGCGCGGCTTGATTCGAAGCGTGTCTGTATACGTGAGAGTCGGTAGACTCCGCCGCAGCTTCTCTTCCGGATCCTTTTCGGGGTCTCGTGGCGGTGTTGGGTTGGTGGGCGGACTCTTGGGTCGGATTAGCGTGTCGACGCAAACTCCAATGGGCAGCAGAACCCCGTCGACGATGTCTGTCCATGCGAAGTCTCTCATGTACACCTCCTGTCCGCGCAACTCTTTGACCTGGAACTCCGGCAGCGGTAGTAGCAGCATGGTCCATTGGTATCGCTTAATCAGCGCCGTCAGGAACACCCTCTTGATCTCCTCCATGGGAACGTTGTAGTCTACCTTGACTCCATCCAGTCCCATTGCGCCCAGTAGCGCCCAGCACGCATCCTGGGACACTCCAAAGGTACGACTTTGCTTGCCGGCGAGAATATACAGCGGTGAGTATTCGGTGTAGCCCACAAGCCCCGAGTTGATCAGCGACTTGAGCGACTGGCGTAGCGCTCGCGCCGAGTTTGGGTTAGCCAGAGCCTCTGCTAGCTGACCCCTGGGAGTGCTCCCGTCTGCTTCCTGGCCTTCGGCCTGGATGACGAAGGCCTGAGCCAAATCGACCGCTAGACGGGTGATGCGGATTGTGATGTCGAGCACACTAGCACAACCTCCGTAGAGGAACCGGTCGTCTTCAAGTTTCTCGCCATTGACATCCACCAGGTGTGTCGGGCCGAGCAGGACTCCCTCCTGCAGTGTCCAGCCCGATCGTAGCCACCATTCTCCATCCTGGGCTGCCACAAGCTGTCTCCTCACCTGGTCGAGATATTCCACCGCGGTCGTAGGCGCTGGGTTTCCGTCCCGCGGTCTGGACAAAAGCAGGGCCTTGAGCGCTGATTCATCCTGCCAGAATGTTGTGTGCAGCCAGACAATGCTGTTCTTTGCCTTGCGGTAGATGTGCCTATTGTGAATGAGCTACTAGTCCTGGGGAGGATAGGGATCTTCTCACATCTGCTTTCCAATCTCCTCGCCCTGGACAGCCTGCAGCTGAGGGCTCAATGGTCTCATACGGCCTTTATTTCCTTGTGGGACACACATCCAATCCCACCAGACATACCGGGTCCCGATCCTACCCATGATCCTTCTTGCTTCGGAGAGGGGCCATCGCCTTGTACCTGGCACGTCCCATGAGATTCCATCGGGAATGTCCGTAGGGAGATTCTCATAATCAGCGATGTACCCCCAGGTGTAGGACACAATACCGTAGCCCTCCCTTTCGAGAGTGCCTCTGGGGACTTCAGTGAAGGGCTTGACCTTCCATTCTTCTAGGTCGAGAAGCCATCGTGGGTTTTGGGGGTCATTGGGCGGGACTTGAATAGTATCAGCCATTTTGGCAATGTTTATGAATTGGAATGGGGAGAGGGGGTTAAATATCAGACACGTATGGGATGCCAGGAAACCCTAGGCTAACTACGTATATATGAAGAGCACGCATCGGATGGGATTTCTCGCCAAGTCATGCCTCCCAAGGGACTAGGAAGACGGATAATCTGACACTCCCCTGAAAGACCAAAGATCGTATTACGTGTACTTCTGTGGTCCAATCTTCCAATAAATTCGTATGGCGCACAGAATCGCCACGTAGACTCGCACACACCCATTTTCTAGACTCCGGGATCATCTTGGATGCATTACAAGATTGACACCGCTCCTTTGGTTTGATTGTTTTACAGTGAGGCATTTCTGTGCCGAAAAGTGGTTAGAGATGAGGAGCTGAAGATATGCATGATTGTTGCATATTTCACCAAGGGCACCGGCATTAGTCTAATGCATAGGGAAAACACCCCCTCAGCCTTCTACCAACCATATTGATGATGCTTTCATGAAATTTTCCATAGGGAAGAGCGTTACATTGATACGTACTCGTGGCTAGCTGATACTGCCTTTCGGGCAAAGACAGCTTGTTAACTCCCATGACACGTCATGGACGGTGCATCCAACATGCAGAAGCGATATTGGGATCATCAAGAGGGGCAGTAGATGATGTCGGAAATGCATCATCAGCTAAGGACTTAAAAGAAAATAAGAGCATTGGACATATAGCACGGAGCTGCATATAAATAGGACACTGTATCCCTACTGAATAGATGTGCGGCACCTCTATCCAAATCCATATCAAACACGAGAACAAAAAACCAAGCACATTCAACCATGTCTGGCGAAGGACCAACCATTTCCCTCTTCCGCTCTACCATTCTCAATCGCCTTGGTGATTCCGTTGTGGTGGCAGCCTTTGTTAACCAGGATCACTTCATCCCTCTTCATCCCCGGGACGAAATCCTGAACGTCAGTTTGGACATCAAATGGTTCCATATCCAAGCCCCAAACGGCCCCGGACAATGCTTCATTGCCCCAGAGAATGTGACCGTGAACAAGGCGTCGGTCATTTCCCTGCGGCTGCCAGAGGGTTCCAGCATCCCATTCCTCTATCATTTCCCCGCTGACGCGCCTGATGACGCGCAGTGTTTTGAACTGCAGCCGATCGATGACCCGGCCCAGCGGGAGGTCATCTTACCATCGTCGGTCATCGATACCACCAACTCGGCTCAGGACTTCCTTCACAAACTGGTGACTGTGAGCAACTATCCGATGTTTACCAAAGGCATGAAGTTGCCCCGGTCTGCGCTGCACGAACTGCTCGATGATATTCCTGCTGCGAATTCTGCCTCCCCCGTCGCAATGTTTGCGGCGACCTCTCGGGCTGCCCCTACAGATATCCCTACGCCCCCCAAGGGGGATTTGGATAAACTCATGGACCTTCTATCCGACAATGGCAAGCCGCCCGCACAGCAAGTCTCTGAGGGCAAAGCGCCCAAGCCCCCGATAACCAATGTCAAGCCTTCCGAGGCCGATAGCAACGCCGAGGCTCTACAGTGCTACAAGGACATCAAGCTGGTGACCGGGCTCGCGTGTTTGTTCCAAGAAATCCTTCGACTTCAGAAGATGCATAAGGAAGGCCGCACCTCTCCATATGGCATCTCGGATCCCAAGGAGGCCAACCTGGCCATGAAGGAGAATGCCGATCTCGCGTATCAAGTCATGCATGGCGGACTGGGCGGCTACTACGACAGTATCAATATGTACCAGCGCTCATACAACAAGACGGTAAAACACTCCGACTTGAAGATCGAGTTTACATCCGACATCTTCAAGCCGTTTGGCTTCACCAAGCCCGCGCTCACCGAGATCTCGGGCTTCCTCGAACAGTATATTGCGGCCATCGCGAAGGTCAAGACCGATACGACATCGACCAGCTTCCGGAACTCTTTCTCCAAGCAGATTCATCAGGTGCTGCGTATTAATGTGGGCGACGACGGGAATCCTGTCTGGGTGTGGCAGCCGAAGTGTCGACTGGTGTATATGCACGTCGACAGCGCGTCGTATCGCGAAACCGTAAAGACATGCCTGATGGAGAACACTCAGGAGAGCTACCAATTTTCCATGGACTACGTTGTAGTTGAGGCGGATATCAATACCGCAAATGTGGAGAGAAGACGCGAGAAACTCAATAAGGCTTTCGACATGGTCAGCGACAAGAACATCGACGCATTCGTGAGCCAGGCCGGGGTGGCGAATGAAGTCACCGATAAGACCCCTATTCAGGATGGCATGTAGTGAGTGGTTTACATAGAAATTGGTTCTTTATCTTTTGGTCGCGGCATACAAGTGCTTCTCTGATTTTCAATATTCCTAAACACTTTGTATGCAGTCATTTCATGTCGGCTTGGGGGTAGTATCAACATCTTTGTATGAGCGTAAGAGATTAAGAGAAAATACAAAATTAACCTGCAAGATTAGCATGATTCGAGGGCTCAGGTAATTGGTAATCTTACTCTAAGGCCCCCCCAGGCGAGTATCAAAATTTTAAGAGAATATCTGTAAACTATGGTACTATTTATACCAGTACGACCAACTTGGGCCAGGGTAGTCAGGTGGGGCGGTGATCACCTAACCCTTTTCTCCAGCCTTTCTTCGCCGCTCTTCAACTCACTCTCATCGTTTCCTTTTCAATTCCCCCGTGTTAATTTCTTGTACGCCCCATTTACATTCGCGTACATATTACGTATTACATACTACAGATTCAGTTCATCATGTCCGGGACAGAGGATATCCTTATATCGGACCTCTGCTCCATCGCTGCATCGCCATCGCGACCAAAAGCTAACTAAGATAATAGTCATATTAACGCCCCCAGATATTGATGTCCTTAATACTCAACCTGTACATGCTCTCTCCCCTTCTCACGCCACTATAAGCTCTGGTCCTAATGTTCTGGCGTCCGCGATCCCGCTGCCTATTTCTATTGTGATAGATTAGCTACCACCGCTCTCTTTGACCGTGAATTCAACTTCATTACGGGAATCGAATGATAGATTAAGCTTGCCGAGCGTGATACGGATAATAGCGGTGTCTAGGTTGATCCTCAGCAATAAAGCTATACGGATGTTGCTACTGTAGGACTGGAGCACGAAGTTAAGAGTGAGGGTAGTAGTATGCGGAAGATGAAAAGACCTAATGATGATGGCGGCATGGTCAAGGGGAGGCTGTTATAATTCATTCTATCTAATTCAGATAAAATCCAGCCCACCGTCTATATCAGACTGTCTCAAACTCTCAATCACCCATGTATCTATCTCTCTCTCTCTATCGATCCTTGCCATCTTCCCCACTCGCGCGCCCCGTATTCATCAGGAAACCCTAACCAACATCATGAGAGCCTAACGACCAGCTTCATGTCGCTCATTTGCCTGCCTGATAAACTCGTCCCGATATTCTTTTGCCAGGTCCCTGCTATTGCGATACGCGTTCACACCCTGTTGGTAGGATTCCGGACTCCCGATCAAGGAGTAATGCCCGACCTGGGTCATCACGTAATCCGTCTGATGGTTTGCGCCGGAGTCGATATTGCTCGGAGTCCGCGTCGGATGTGTCGCGTAGATGCCCAGAATTCCGTTTTTGAAGGTCGACGACATCGCGTAGGCGTGGTCGTCGTAGGGAGAATCATGGGCGGGAGCAGGAGCAGGAGCAGGAGCAGGAGCAGGATCGGAGCCATCGTCAACCCGCGGTCGATTGCTGCTGCTGCTGCTGCTACACCCCTGTGCATGTCCATATTGCTGGAGGGAATGCATCGCTCGGGCACCCAGAGCGCTATCATATAAGGCCTGACGTTTCAGCACGGTGTCCGAGCCATCGTGGCCTTTTGTCTCGACGAAGAAATTAGGCGTGATAGGGCGGTTGCCCTGCCGGGTGGGGATAATCTGGTCACTGAGCTGTTCCCGGACACGAGGATGCAGCTGATGAGGCGGCGCGCCGTAATAAATATCAGGCTTGGCATTGGCGAGGGTGCCGTTCGTGAGCGACGCCAGATTCGTGAATGGGTGATTGCCACCATCATGAAAAGACGCTTGTTGCGGACCGTCAAGAATCGGAAGGATTTTCTTGATCACGAGCTGCTCGTCGGGAGTCCTGTCGTTGAGTTGCTGGAATTCTTTATATTTTTGGCGCAGAGAATCTTCGGACAATACAGGGGATGGACGAGGAGCTCGTAGACGTCTTTGAATTTCGGCAATATTCTCTGGTTCACAGACGTTGGTCCCATCTGGGTATATAGAATTGGGCAAAAAAATACCGTAGTCAGTCAGATGGATTTCAAAGTTTCGATCGTATACAGTCGTTTTTTCGGTTTTTAGAGTTGGCCCCTTCGAGCTGGAGTCAGTAGGATCCATTGAATACTGACTGAAATGGGCTGGTGCAGGATACTAGAAGCAAGGCCTGCTTGGTTAGTATGCTATGCCTCTATTCCATAGAGAAGCGTCTTGGAGAGGGAGAATAGAGCGACTAAACCTACGTTTCTAATGCCCGATAGATCCGGCCCTCCACGGCGGGAAAGTTTTCTGATCTCTTGTACACAAGTAGTTGAGCAGTTGCGCAAGAAATCTGGAGCAAAAATGTAAGGGCGAGAAAACGAGCTGCTCTGATTTGAGGATAGAAGGTAGTGTCGTCGGTTAGCTTCTTATAACGCACTTTTAGTTAAAGATAGTTTCGTGAGTTTCTCCCAAAACAAGGGAGGAGGATGAAACGTGCGACGTTTCCGTTGTCGAAACTGATGCTTGGAGGACGGCATATAGAGATTCTGTACAGGTAGAGCAATCGAAAAGAAGACTGTAGAGATTAAGAATCCAGATCCGTTGGTAGGAGGCATTTCATGGGCACCTAAGATAAAGAGATTACTGTGAAACAAGCATAGTTAGGCTGGTCTCTGGTGGGGTTAGAACAAAGAGAATAGGTAGTATCACTACAAAGCATCCTTTATCCCGATCTCCTGACTTTAATTCATATCACTATCTCAATACGCGATCTAGGTGCCATACAACAGCCAGGATAGCTTGAATAGTTGTACGTAGGAGCTTTGCGCCACGAGGTCAAGGAGTTGAAATCCGGCGAGATACCGTAAGCGAGCAAGTAGATCAGAGGGCCTCGTGTGCTCAGTTTACTCTTCGGTACTCTAACTCTGCAAATGCGAGGTGGTGTTCTCCTTTTAACTATCAGAAGACCATATCTGAATATAATCAATTTTCCGGTTTCTGAGTAACGAAGGGATATTTTACCTGCTGTTTTTTTTTTTTAATTAGAGCCCCGCTACGTGAATGTATATTTCGGCTGTGATGTATACAAAGCAGAATGAGACAGACAACACATTTGAGTAAGACAAGCCACGTATATGTAGATTCCAATAGCGAAACGCTGGCAGTAACTATTTTGGCGCGGATTGGATGGTTAAATTACCCTAGGATTTATGCGCCAGGCAGTCCTATCGGGGACCAACGATACAAGGACGTTTTGTCAGATATAGGTCCCACTATTTCTATTTTCTAGTTGGAACCCTTTTCCTTGGCAAGCACATCAGTTACCTTTACCTGATCTCAGCCCCGCACTGTAGCCTTGTGAGTGTAATAAACCTACTGCCCTCATTACACTGTGATATTCTTTTCCTGACACTCTCCACGGCTAGGACTAGCACATATCAACATGAACTATTTGACGAAGACGCTGGCAAAAAGCCGCCTGAACGATGAACAAGAACAGCTGCCATTCAACCCTCCTGCAGACAGTGGAATATCACGAAAAACCTTGCGAGATATTCCACGTTATCTTTTTCGCTTCGCTAGTCCTCATTCGGACGGAGAAACAAAGGGGATGTAGGTACATTCTGAGGCAGCATGCCAAAGTCAGAGCTCTTCTACCGAAGACATTTTCTTTCGGTTGGATGCTGAGAAGCGAAAACGAGTGGCGGGATATTTGTGATAACTTTCTTGGGTGAAACGTCAGTTTGGGTAGTAACTCTGAGTGCGTTAGCCCTAGTTGAATATTCTTCTTAGGCTGTCTCTTGGGTATTGAAGGCTTTGGAAGCTCAAGATAATCCTTTAGTTTATATAATTTCGCATTTTAGAGGTAACCCTGAAGCTATCTTTTGAGTACCGCATAGACTCGAAGGCTACGAATATGAAATATATGCAGTATCTAGTACCAAGCTGGAGGGAATTGTAGGACTGGAAATATTAGCTAACCGACACATTCTCCACCCCCATTGTATGTCCGTGCATTTCCTACTAACCGACCCCTCCACCCACTAGCGTTCCGGGGTCGCCGCCAACGGCGACCCTGCCAGCTCAACGAACAGGCCATCTCAACGAACACGAATTTTCATGAAATTATTCAAAAAATCATAACAAATTGGAAATTCAAGATATCGCAATAATTCCTATACTGTTGGAAAGCTGGAGGTCTCCTCCTTATTCCTGCTTTTTCGCTGGCGCTTTATGATAATCCCCCGGTCTATGGCGTAGTCGACAAGTTCGACTATAATCTGCTTCTATTTAGCACGTAGACGAGTACGTTTTTTTAAAGTATCCAATTTCTTTTCTTTCCGCTCTATATGAGCAAGACTAGTACTGAAAACGACTCTACCAACCGGGGCACGCCGTTTAGAGGCACAATCTCGCTCTGCTTTTTCTCGTTGAACCCTAGTTATCTCGTCTAACTGCTGCTGCAACCCTGCAGCAAGCCAACCTTGCACTATACTGCCTTTTATGAATTTGGAGAGTCTCCTAGTGAATCTGTAGCCGTCCTGTACGGCGTCATATCCTAGATTTGTAGCGAATTTAGTAAGGCGTTAAATGTTCTTAGGCGTATTTAGTACTGAAGACCCTGCCTCGCTAGAGGTCGTAGATAAAGATATAGACGGCCGGATTTCTGGCAGATTAGCCAGTACAATTACTAGTTTCCAGGGTACAAGCTCTGCTAGGCGAAAAGTATAGCGAATTGTAATATTTTTAAAAGTTTTCTTACGGATAGTCGATAGAGCGTATAAAAAGTCAGTCTTAGTAAATTTCTTATATCTAGCGTACGTAACGTTAGATACTATCTCAGTATAATAATGCTTATAAGTATAAAATATGCCTATATTGAGCGGTTAAAGTAGGTAAAATAAATAAAAAGGTAAAATAAATAATACAATCTTATGCTTCTTACAGTATTGGACGAATTCGTAAATGAGATAGAATCTATACCTGTTACAGAGTAGGAGACGATAATCTCTCCTAGTTCGATATTTTGTATAGAGGTTAAAGGCCTGAATCTACTAAAAAGCAAAAGAATCCGTTATATAGTTACTATCGGAGACTCCTATATGGGTCTCTTTCGACGCTTTATCGAACCAGCCACGGAAGATCTATTTACCAGGTATAATAATAAAAGGAGGGCATAGGTCCCCGGCTGCAGAAATTGCCTCTACAACCGTAATATATTCCCGGTTGGAGTTGAGGCCTAAGTAGGTCTTTGTATAATCTTTAGTAATAATCTACTGGTCTTTTCTAATACTAATTTGAAAGCCTATTTTATCGAAATTCCAGATATCGTTATCTAGGATCCTATATACAGCAATAACGTTTTAAAGACGGCAATACCAATCCTCCAGATCGTCTCGATTATAAGTACGATGTCGCTCTATCTCTATAGCCCTTGCCTTCTTCATATTATATTATAGGTAACGTATAAGCCAGCGGGATAGCCACTTATCGCCAACAGTAGGAAATAAAATGTTAGGATTATTATAAGTTTTCTTTAGGATCGAATCGGCCGCTGTTCGTACTATCTTAGGCCTCGGGGGGAGACTAACTCTTACCCAGCATTCAATATACTGTATTAGAGCAGAGTTCTGGGCCTCAGTAAACTTTAAATTGCCTAATAGCCGTGTTATTCGTGAATCACGATCTAAGAAGCGATTTCGAAGGCGCAGACGAGAAACATCAAAAAGACGAGCAGTTTTTGAGATATTAGGTTTTTTTTTTGGTAACTCAGAGCTTCTAGAGCCCTACTAATTCGAGACTCGATCTCAGAATAATTGCTAGCCATCGTGGGGTTGAATAATGAGGCGTCAAAGTAGGGTGGTCAAATCATAAAAACTCTGTTCGTTGAGATGACCTGTTCGTTGAGCTGGCAGGGTCGCCGTGGCGGCGACCCCGGAACGCTAGTGGGTGGAGGGGTCGGTTACCTTAGCATCCCCCAGGTCTCTTGCAAGAAATTATTCCAACCCACCTTCCCGAACCATCAGACTAGACCAGAAAACTCGAATCCACAATACCCCGACCGGATTTTGAGATCTCTAGATATGTTCTCTGGAGTAATCTGGCTCCTGCGTAATCTGGATGAGTTCTTAGGATAGTGGAGACTAGCCGTAGGAACTCAATTTGAGTTGTCAAGAGCAAACGCACTCCCAAGAGCTAGGTTGCATGTTCAAAGCAAATCCTAGTTTGCCATGGTGGTCTACTGAACAGACAGCGTAGAATATTGCGCCCGCGATTTTTGCCCCGTCGCCTTGTCATATTTACTCCAGCTTACTTACAGAAGATTCTCTTTTTCAAGAAACTCATTCGAGCAGCGAGGGCGGGACTTAAGAGGGCATATTTCATCGGGTAGATCGTTTTTAGATGACGCTTCGAAGGTGGAACTTCTGGCCGGCCACATTTAGTAAGGTGTTTGCGGACTTGCTTACAATTATGTAAGGTGTCCCGTTATGGACGGAGTAGTTGAAAAGCCGAAATCTCGGCGTAGAAAGAGGGCTCGTCAAAACGAGAGCCATTGTTGATGGTGCTTGAGAATAGATGTATCTTTACGGACATCAGAACGAACTAACTAAATGGAAAGATTGAAAGTCGAAAGTCTTTAACGCTTTTCGGCAAAGACACAAGTCATCATTCCCTTTCAATTTGCAGGATTTCTTCAGTACTTGTATAAATATTTGTCCTCTGATATTTTATGAACATAGGAATAGGCAGCCTGATATTCGATTGTTCGATTGAAGTCGCACCAAATCATTCTCAAATTGCAGCTATTGAAATAAAACCACCTTCGCTTGGAATAGGAAGACCCCTTGACGCAAGCTTAATAGCCCTTTTCCTTTTTGTTTTCGAGGACAGGTCTTCCCAATTCTCATACAGCATTAAGTCTGCGCATGAAATTCTCGCTATGTGACCTTGGGCTTGTGTTTGATCAGGAGCCTTGGGTAGTATTTCGTGATTGGGGGTCTCGCTAGGAGATAAAGAAGCGCTAGGCCAGCCTTCAGTATTAGTGGACGCTTGGGGAATGGTCCACTGCTCGAATTCCCCTTCAGCAGGGGGCTCTTCGGGAACAGGCTCAGGCTCGGGGAAAGGCTCAAATTCGGGGAAAGGCTCTTCAAGAACAGGCTCAGATTCGGGGAAAGGCTCTTCAAGAACAGACTCAGATTCGGGGAAAGGCTCTTCAAGAATAGGCTCAGGTTCGGGGAAAGGCTCTTCGGGAACAGGCTCAGGTTCGGGGAAAGGCTCTTCAGGAACAGGCTCAGGTTCGGGGAAAGGCTCTTCAAGAACAGGCTCAGGTTCGGGGAAAGGCTCTTCAAGAACAAGCCCAGGCTCTTCAGGAACAGGCTCAGGTTCTTCAGGAAGAGAATAAGCTGGGTCAGTTCCGTTCAGGTTTTTCCCTAATGATGCATTGGAAAAATCAATTCAGCTCTAACATTATACCATTGTTTTGTTGGTGAGATGACTTACCGCGCTGGTCTTGCATGGAAAACAAACGAATTGAGAGTATCTCGAGGATCATTTTCATCACGACAATATCAAACTGGTGGTCTCGACCGAGAATATTATAAAATTCGCGCAGCCCAAGCGCTGGATCTTCAGGCTCTAGTAGTCGTTGCAAGTTCTCCCCAATATAACTTGGAAGCCATGTTTCACCAGCGGGAAGACTTGAAAAAACGTCCCTCGTTACCTGCAGCACTTCAAGAATAGGAATCTCCTCATCTAATTGCTTCATTTTTTGTTTGGCAATGGTTTCAAGCTCAGGGAGGCCGTACGTCCTTGAGGCGTGGTAGACGAGAACACTCTTCTTGTATTCTCTGGAGATATCGGATGTGCCTTCGTCAAGAGGCGAGTTGACTGTCTCGTAGCCACCTGTGTATAAAAAATGCACCATGGTATGTCCGACATCCTCGTGGATATCAGACATGGTGATAATTGTCGAAAGTCCAAAAAATTCCAGCTCGAATTTTGGGCATTTCCGAAGAAAATGAGAGGGAAGGCCATATCGCTTATTCCCTATGGCGAGGGTAACAAAAGGTGATTCGTAGGGCCAGCAAATAGATCAGAATACGCTGGTTCCAATATATTCGAAGGACTTACGATGACAAGGGTCTATGATAGTCAATATTTGGAGAAACCTCTTGAGGCAGCGAACGCCTGGCCACCTCATTCGATTGGCGCTGCTTCATCTTCTTTTTAGACTCTTTTTTGGCCATTTTGTTATGTCGGCTATCAAGCAACTACCCGGCATTTTTCAAAGCAAATATGAAAGGCAAGGACGTGGGAACACCCGACTACTTTAATATAGGTGAGAGACGCGAGATGCGGGGTAATGCAGGTATGAGTTGTTCTGCAAGGCAGTCGAAACACGTTATCTGTGTAGTGAGAAGCAACTTAATGTCAATTTCTAAACAGCGGATATGAGCCATTAGACGACTTCCAAATGGGCTGCTTTTTTTCAACCTACGATGTCCACAGACCATAAATAGCTTATTCAATAAACTTTCTCGTGTGGGGTCCTAATGATCGCCCGGCCGTATACCAAACCGCGTCGGCATTTTTCGGCGGCAGGTGACGCTAAATATAGAAGTTTACCAACCATCGGACCCAGGACATCCTAAAATCAAAGCATCACCTGCTCAGAGAAATGATTCGTTTCGCTTTAAGCGGGGTTGGTGAGGTTCTATTTCCTACGACTCAAGAGGACCTCTATTAGGACTAGTAAGGGCTATTAAGGGCCTACGCTATACTTACCCACGGGGGTGTGAGCGTATCTAATGCCAAGCCGGAGGGTACGGTACAAAATAATACGGAAGATTACCTTGACCGACCGCCAGAGGCGCAATTTTAAGACTAAGTTGGACCAGCGAGAGGTGCTAATATGTCGAAATAGCGATTACAGTGCTCATGATATTTCATACGCTGACCCCTCGCCTTAAGCGATTGCAGGGTACCACAATCTCTAATCTCTATATACATGACCTTTTTTTTTCTGCTGGGTTTATCGGGGGCGGAACAAGGAACAAGCAGTGGTCTAATGCCAGTCCTCGTATCACTATTCTACAAAAAAACGTACAGCGGTGATTACCTTGAACTTCGAAATCAACAGCTTTAAAGGCAAGGTTCTGGCCCAATTGTTTGAAAGCGAATATGATCTTATCTCTAGGAGACCTCACTTTGCTGAAAAAGTCGCCATGCCATGCAATTGTAGTCCACAGGGCTCTTCACATATAAGGGGGCACTGAAGGCAGACTAATAAGCGTCTTTCAAGAGGCGTTTCTACGAAGTTGCCAGAAAAATGCGCTTGCGTAAACTACAAAAGCGTGGTAACTTTTAAAGAAAAGATCAGTGGTTACATACTGCGCCACCTAGAAGCCTTGAAAAGAGCCGTAGCGAGGTAAGCTATAAACTGAAATTCCATTTGAGCTTGACCGGAAGAAAACACAGCCCGCGGCATTGCCCAAACGATGATATTAGGATAGATAAGCAACCTGGATTTCCGGCCCTTAGTTATGAAGAGTTCATGGCACAAGCCGTTCAGAAGTCTAGGAGCTATCGGAGTAATATGGCTCCGAGTCTTTCTCATCTGTAGTCCCCTCATCCTCTGATCCATGATTGACCCTTCGACACCATTGATCCAACTGAGCACTCTGCTTAGAAGTGATAAGAAACCGTTCCTTGTATGCAGCAAGCACCAGAATCCTTGTGCGCCATTTGAAAGTACCTGGGTGTGACACAACAAATAGCACAGCGTTATAAAATTTAGCGCAGTCATTGGTTTCAATGTGGAACTTGCCAATGACTATGAGAAACATAAGTCGAAATGCTGCATTCCTTGCTATGGTTTTATTGCCCTTAACAGTTCGGTCCCGCTTGTAGTCGAGCTCATAAGTGGTTTTGCAGGCTCTGAGGTCGACAAAAATATCATCGATCGATTGTTGTCCAAGAACATCGACTCCGAGAAAATCATATGTTCCACAAAGTGTGTAATATTGAGAGAGATCGGCAGGCAACGAACGAAAACAATGCCTGTAGCCTATTTCATTTCCTTTGAGGGCAACATCAAACAAAGGAATAGCGCCGTGATCAAATTTTGTGACCTGAGGTTGAGCTCTACGTTGGAAGTCGACAAAAGAACGAAGGTATGGAATCATGGAGAGATCGATATCGTACAAAACACCTCCAAATTTCAATTTCGTCTTTTGGGTCTCTGGTCGATTTGCTGAGGAGGTGTTTGTTTCCAAGACTGTTGACTGGTTATTCAGCTTGAAATAAATGTCATGTGGTAACAACTGCCTTCCTTCGGCTTTCCAGACCACTAACTCATTATGCTGGCCATTATACTTGACAACGGCTTTCTCGCCACTCTCTTTTACCACTTTGATGATTCTCTTGATTATCGTAGCTAGTTTCATGAGATCTTCTTGGTGTTCATTGTCCCATTTCTTGATCTCAGGCGTGACGTCTTTAACTCTTGGCAGCTCAAACACACCGTTTCTGTGGTAGGCACGCACGAGATTGGGGGTTTGAGATACCCACAACTGCGGAAGAACCTCTTGAAGGTCGATCTGCTTGTGAAAGACCCGTGTTTTTATTTTGAGGGTTGATTCAGTTGGAACGGTTTGGCCTTGTTTTTTGATCCGCAATGCGGTCCTCGTCGAGGACATATGAGGAAGCTTACTAGTTGAGTGAAGGGATAGTGACTCTATCATACTGGATAGTGGGTCCACTCCTACATCTACAGTTGAGGTTACATCAACGTATCGGTCTGTCTCATAGCGCAGCATGAGCCTCAAATCACCAAGCCGATATGAGATAATAACACTTCCTTGAGTGAGCGCGGGAGCTGAATCAATAGACTCCAAATTTCGTTTTATTTGTTCCAACACTTGGGAAACAAGAGTTTTGACTGCTTCTGATGGATCCCCAGTAGATATCTGCCGAACAGCTCCCGCCAGCTCCACCATGGCAGAAGCCAGGGAATTGTAAGAGGCCAGCGTTACCTGCTGCTCTGCTGGTATTTCTCCAGCCAAACTGACAACAAACTTGATTTGTCCAGGAAAGCACATGTTCAAGGCACATGCAATCGGACAGGAAGATACCAAGGGTTTGGCCATTCCTCATGATTTGATTATCACGGGGGATATTGATACCAGTGCCACTTGATCGGATCATTGTACTTGTTTGTAGTATTGATATTTGGACTATCCACAGCCTTGCTCATATTGAGTTGTCTTAGTCCATTGTCTATAAAAACATGTTCTGATTGAATTAGAAGCTGGACTAACTTTCTGTATGTTGGGTAGTAAGTAGATATTTGCCGGGTATATTTGTTTATCTTCTCCACCCGATCTTTTTATTTATGAAGATGAACTTTATGTGTTAGTATTATATAAGTAGAGGCCTAGGAGAGTGATAATGTACATATGGAATGTATAAAAATACAGAATATTGAGAGACCCAACACCAATGCAACGCTCCGCCCTAATCGCACTATTCTGTGCTCAGCACTTGATGAAATAGACTGTGGAATGGATAAAGGGGATGTTCAGCAGGAGTAAGCTTCGCGGCGCGACGCGAGAGCGCAATTGCCCCCTGAAGGTCTTCTACGACCCCAGTCACTTCGTAGCGTTCGTAGAGTCGTCGCGCAAGATTGCAAAGATAGATCGGAAGACTGGGATCATCAGCAGGCGTGATCTCCAATGCTATCCGGATCACCTCGAGCGCTCTTTCGATATCGCTCGGCAGCCGCATCGTCCTGTATCGCGCCCCTAACCAATAGGCGAGAGTGCTTCGGTGCATCGCCACGACTTTGGCATCATCGCGACTGATTGATATTGACTCGGCAGTGGAAAGGGCTTCTTCAGCGGCCTTGATAGCCAAATCCAGATCCGCACCGTTGCCTCCGTCCAGAAACCGCTGGCCCAGTAAGTTCGCAAGATAGTCCAAATAGCGGGTTTTTGCCGATTGTGAACCGGAAAACAGTCTCACAACGCTGACAATGTCCTCAATAGCCTGACTGATAGTCATGGCGTCCTTGGTGCGCTGATATTGTCTTTCAAGGACAGCGGCACGCTGATGCAAAGCAGCTGGGCGTCGAGGATGGCCGTTAGGCGTAACGGTGACAGCTTTGTCGGCCTCGCGCATTTCATTTCCAGGAACAGGGAGGTCGTGATGCACAGAATCCCAGTACCGCATGTTCAACCCTTGATCGAATGTAGCTAGTCTTGGAGTCAATTGCGGATGGCCGCCTCGCGTTCGCTTTAGCACCTCCTCCGCTAGATTAGCGCCATACTCGAGGTCGACTCTATCACCAAAATGACAGTATCGGGCCATGAGACTTTGACTAAGTGCAGTTAGTAGGCTGTCGCGCGCAGGGGTTTCCGCTGTTAGCATTTCGACAAACGTCTGGACTTCGCAAGACGACGGTATTCCAGAACAGCAAAATAGGGAGAGAGCTAGCTTGGGCTGGAACTCTGGAAACAGTTCCTTAACCTGATAGATCAGAACACCCGACTGGTCATCTGTCTGTCCTTGTTTCTCGTCCGTCTGATCCATGTCTTTCTGAATTTGATCCTCGGTTTCCTTCGTCTGCTCGTCAGACTGTTCCGTCACTTGTTCTTCTGGTTGGCCCTCTGTATTCTCTCCAGTCTCCTTGGTGTCGTTCGCAGTGTCCGCTTCAATCTCCTTTTCGGTCTTATCCTCCGTCTTTTCTTCTGTCGGCTCTTCAGTCTTTGCTTCTGTCCTCTCTTCGGTCAATTGCTCTTCGGTCACTTCGTCTAACGGTTCTTGGGGGTGCTCTTCGGACTGCTCTTCGGACTGCTCTTCGGACTGCTCTTCGGACTGCTCTTCGGACTGCTCTTCGGACTGCTCTTCCGACTCCATGCTCTGCTCGTCCGACTTGTCAGACCCTGCCTCTGTCTGGCTCAGACCATCCGACACCTCCACTAGCTGGTCTTGTGTCTGTCCCTCCCCCTCTGCCTTGTCGGATAGCCGGTAGGATTTCTTGACGTGAAACACCCACTTGGCAAACGCATGCTCCGCAAATACAAACGACGCTCGGCACCACTGATGGTATAGTTTCTTTTTGTAAAACGGCGCCTGGACGTACTTCTCGATCGACATAAATTTATTCTTTGTAACGAACGGAAGGGACTGATAGGCGAAACAGCTGTGGGCCATGGTCTTGTGACAGGACTCAATAGACAGCTGCTCCAACCAACTAGGCTTTTGTGTCTGTTTTTCGACAGGTAAAAGGTAATCTCTGACCGTCTGATGAGCGAAATAAATGCGATCATTGTAGACGTCGAAGAAGGGTCCGCAAGTCTCGCGAAGCCAGCTTTTAAAGTCCACTACTGGCAGGCCCAGTTCTTCCTCCCGATCACAGCTCGTGCAGTCGTCAACGTGAAGAGCCAGAGCAATTGCCATCTCTCGGACGGTGAGTGGTTTCGTCGTGGCAAGTACTAGTTCCAGCATGATCCGCACGTCGTCGCGGTTGCTCTCGTGGATTTCGTCCAGTAAGACTCGGTAGATCTCGAACACGGTCTTGGGCAAGTGGTCAAATGTCCGGGACCAGTAATTTGTCCCCGGTCGGACAGGTAGAGAATAGAGATAGGTGAATAACAGGTCGGTAAACAAGTAGCTCGCGTTGTTGTGAACTTGCAGGTGCCGGAGCAATTTTATTTTCGTGCCCTCGTCGCGAATGCGTCTCTCACGGGCAAAAGATTCCACCCGATCCTGGGCCACCCGAGCGATATCGCCCATGATCGACTCTCGACACTCAGCGTCCTCATCGAGGCTTAGAATGGTGCCGTTTGTTAGTAGCTCGAGGAGGCCGGGAACGGGACGGGTCGTGAGGAGGAACTTCACTTTGGAATCAGGGAACCTGGTCTGATAGGAGTTTAGTAGTTTCAGCGCAGTCTCCAGATGCGCGTTCTGGCACTCATCCAAAGCATCCAAGACCACAGCCACCCGCTCGTGGGGAGTCCCCCGACTGGCGATCTCAATCAGTTCCCAAAACAGGTCAGAGTCAGGTCGCACACTCTGCCGCGTGGCCTGTTCTGCCTTTTCTTCCACTTCGTTCAAGTGGGAACACTGCCGTAGAATGCCGTCGAGGACTTCATACAGGGCGATATTCAGATTGTTCTTGTCGCCACCGTCCTTGAAAAAGAAGGAGCAGAGAGACATGGGCCGCACTCGGGACAGCTCAGTTAAGAGATACTTAGCGAGAACCGACTTGCCCGTTCCTGGTTGCCCGGTAAGAACAAACAGTCCACTATCAGCGTGAATTGCAGCATTAAAGGTTGGATGGCTTAACACTCCATGCCCGGTGTTGTTATGGGGGTTGGCGATCTGCTTCACGTAATCCTGGTACGTATCGGCGCGAGACAGACGGGCATCTGGCATGATCTTATCCATGAGATTCGCTCTTCGCTGGGCAACCGAAAAGACGCTGACGATGTTCTTGATATGCTCCCCCCGCCGCACACCTTCGTTAAGCACACGCTTCAGCGACTTGCCGCTATGCGTCTGTATACACCACTGCAGTTCCAGTTCCGCGGCCTGAATATCGGCAACCATAGCCTCCCAGCTGCGCCATTTGGCCGAGTTCGGGGCAAAGCGATAGGTGGAGTGGTCGTAGAAACGCGCGCTGGCGAGAAGATAGCGGATGACGAGTTTGTACAGCTCGACGACTCTGGCGTTCACTGCCGTCTGCAGCTCTGGCGTCTTCCATGAATTTACCGTCGGGACCTTGGTCAGCGCTGTGTACCATGGCATCCTGGATATCACGTAGTTGATTCCCGATTGTTGCGAATCGCCCTGTCGAGCGTTGTTGATGATAGTCTAGACCGGCTTAGTATGACATCGATTTGGGGAGAGGCCCTCGCAGTATCGCATACCGGTGCAATGATCAAACAAGTCGCCAGCCATGCGGTCGACGAGGTAGGACAGGTCTCCACCATTTCTTCAATGGTCGATTTCATTTTATCGATAGACAGCGTGACAAAAGACAGCATTTTGCGCCCGTACGACGTCCGTTCAAAGGCATCGCAGCCGCGGGTAAACAGGGTCTCGATTAAAGCGCGCCGAGAGGCCTCGTCCAACAGGGATATCCAACGCGAAGGGTTCCGATCCAATCCATGGGCGTGTTCCGGGCTGATGGGACGAAGGGCTGCAGCCAGAACGTATTCATAGTCGGCGATAATGGCGGCGGTGGCGGCGTCGGTCCTCAGCTGGACGTAGGCCTCGTCCCACACATCGCGAGTAATTTCGGTAGGAGTTCCTACATCTTCGTTCGAATTGGGGGATACGAGAATCGTCTCGGAGGAGTCTGGCCTCGATCTTAGGGACAATCGAACCTGGCGCAGTCCCATGATGTCAGCGGCAAAGCGTCAAACAAGGACAGCGACATGAGTAGACGATCGTTCTCTGGAGAAATGGGCGACAATCCTCGATGATATAAACAAACCCGCCATCGGAGCAATGCTCCCCCTGAAACCCACCGCAATCTAGTGCCTGCTCCGATTCAGAGTGGAGCATCATCTCGATCCTATCCTTAATTCGCCGGGAAACGTGGGCCTGTGGACACAGTTCCGTGTTCAGGAACCAGCATGAACCAGTGAGCTGGCGATCCGGCAAGGAATCCGATCGGCTCCACCAAAGGGGGAAAAATCTGCATTGAGATGGAGTTCATGACTCGTCAGGAGATCGGAAATCGCCTATTTGTGATATTGTTTGTACTTTGTCAGTCCAGGTGCTGCTCGCGGGGGTGTTCTTACCGCTGCCACACGTAGCCAGGTTTATGCTGAACCAAAGTATACAATGGAGCCTGGTCTTTGCACGCCTATTGATTGGTCTGGAGCGCTTGTTATCTTCGACTCGAGGTTCTTGGCTTGTTGACAGGAAAGCTGAAACTATGATGGATGCTCTATGGACCTCGGTCCTAACGCAGACCTTGACAAATACTGGATAGTTAAGCATAGAAGTTAGTATATCTTGCTACCCAAAACCGTCTTAGAAAATTCTAATTTAAGCAACAATATAATATGCATCAGCTATTCCTTTGGGTGGAGTATAATAATTACATTTAATATAACATGGTTGTAATACTTCTGCTTTCTACAATAATTATTGGCTTCATAATTATCATAATTGCCCACTCTTATGAAGATAGACATGGAATTTCACGGAATATACCTGAATGTACCTAAGTCTACCATATTCGATTTTGGACTACTATTTTCCCTAACGAGCTCTCCCTGTTCACTGCACGGCATCGCCCTCGTTGTGCCCATTATTAGAGTTATTACCTGTTAATATATATTGACATCGTTTCCTAGTCGGCATAGTGGAAAAAGAACAGCAGCCTGCAACGGGATCCATGGAAGGACGGGCTCTGGCTTCTTTGACTTGCTTCGTTTTAGCCATTGACAATACCATTTTAGGCTCGTGCTTCCCATAACTGGCGGAGCTCTCGCTGGCGGTCTTCGAAATCGGCTCCATCGTCTCCGCAGTCGCCCCGAACTCCATGGCTCTTACACTAGGGCGAGCAGTCTCTGGCCTCGGCGCTGCTGGTTTGGTCAGTGGAACGACAATTATTCTGTAGAAGCAGGCAATGCTTGTGTTGGAACAATATTGTCAACCAGGCCAGAGAGGTGGAGTATCCTGACCTAATCCACATACCGCACAGTACCTTGCTTGGCCTAGACCTGGCCTACTATTCCAAATGGCATACCAAGGGATCAGGAATGCATAGGTGTAAACAAGTGGAACTATAAATAGCTAGGCAGATTGTAGTTTAGAAATGACACTTCACTTTTACCCACCGAGCATATACCTACATTTAGTTGAATCGATAGGATATCTGCTTAGGGCAATGACCAAGTCAACCGACAGCTTGTCTTGTCGCCCATTGTCTGAGCATGTATAACATTGGGTCCGCCATTGGACCACTCGGGGGTGGTACGATAACCGACAACAAGGACCGACTAGGCGGTTTGTTTTCTGGATAAATCTCCGTAAGCTGTCGACTAACAAGCCAACATCTTTTTCCATAATCACTAATTAATACCCCATGCCTTCGGAGCGGTCGGGCTAGTTCTGATCTGGGGCTACGCCATTGTCGATTGGACTTCAACCCACCTTTATTGGAGTGACAGCGGGGTATTTTTCCGGCACAGTGGAGTGACAATTTCTATCTGCTTTAACGATTGTGCTTGGTGATTCCTTAGAGCCTAACATGCCTTGGCTTGTACCGCTAGACTAAATAACTAACCGCCGGAAAGAACAGACTCAATGTGGGATACGTAATCGAGAAATTACGTGATAGAAACATTAGTTAAGTTTTCTTTTGAGCCCCGAACAATCGGAATCTCGCGGATGAGCAGCCTCCCTTAAAGAGAGTGAGTACTTATAGCATGACTGGTGTTCTCTCTCCAGTAAGTCCTAAGCCAACTAAATACTTTTACGCAAGCTTACTTAGCTTTCTCGAATTTCACGCACTGTTACTTTCGATACATGTAGTGCTATGTTAAGAATACACCATTTTCAGATGAAGACAAATCCTTTGCCTTCACGCCTTTCCTCCCCTTCTATTTTTCAAACAGTCTGGGTTAACATTTTTGGTAGATTTAAAGCAGACATACGAGAAAGCTAATCTGAAACACGGCCTTAACTAACAAATAACAAGAACAAAGACAAAAAAAGAAGACAAAACGACAAACATGCCACTCAAGTGACTGGAGGGAAAATGTCACAAGCAATCAGGGCCAGTATTTGGACAGAGTATGAGACCCATATTTCTCATAACTCTCGAGTTGCTCCGGGCTCGACCACCTGCGAGTGTTTGGAGGCGGAGGCATGCTATCGAGCATCATTCGGCGAAGCTTTGCAAGCTTCTCCAGTACACCCAATCCCAAATTCTGTCCAGGCACCGGATCGCTATCCAAGAGCCGCCAGTACGTACGGAAATGCGGCTGAAGATCTTCGGCTTTAACATAGGTGTCCTTACTATGGATTGTAGGGCAATTGTGCAAACTGAACCAGTGGGACATTAGCTCATTTGGATGGTATACATCACGGCTGGCCAGAAGGATTAAAGTTTCGGTCAGTGCCACAAGTGTGAGAATTTTGACCGGGTATAGGTCCTCTGGCCAGCAGGGCGGATCCCGCGGATTATGAGCAGGTAGGCGAGGATAATTGGAGAGCATAAAATTGGGATCATTGGGCCCGGGATGCTCGATCGGAAAGTCGGGCAGTGCCCAGTAGATGTTGGACTTCTTGTAAACCCCGAGGGAGGTGGGTTCTGGCCATTGTGAATAATGGAAGTGTGTGTCCCGGTTCTGTCTCGCATCTTCCGAATCAATTCTGACAAACGCCGGCGAACTCGATCAGACGGCATGGTTTCATTCATCCCAACCTCGACCACTACCCAGTATTGTCAAGTCGAGAAACCGTGGATCGGGCGGAAATCCATATCGTTGGGGGAACCGTAACGGAAATTGACGCCGTGGCTCTTTAAATATGCCTTTGACAGAGATTTGGAATTGCCGGGCATGCCGAGGGCTGAGACCGTTGGGGAATCGGGGGCGATCCAGAGCAGCCTCGGACAGACAATGGCAGGCTTTGAACTGGAGGGCTCGGGCCGTTGAAATTCATTCATCCGTTCATAGTTCTGCTTTGTTGATGGGTGGTGGGTGCATTTGCTGTCCAATCTCCTCCCATTCCCCGTTAGACTCCCCGCAAGACTCGAGCTCCCTTTGTTTCCTCGGTCTTTGATGCACTTTGACAATCCCATTCTTCTGCCAGAGGAACATGTCAGCCATGGTCTTCAACTCAGCAAAGCCCTACCTTGGGTGTCCAGTCACACATGGCGTGGGATAGGCTGCGCAAGTCAGTCTGGACCTGGATGCGAATTGATGTGAGACGGTGTGAAGAGAAGAAATCCATCGCCTCACCCGGCAAAATAGATGAACCCACCAAGTGAACAGCCAGACTCTGGGGGCGGCTGATATCCTCGAGCAAGGCGATTTAAATGCAACTTTTCAGGGAGTGCTCCGTATTGCTTGTTGACTACCACACCAAGTGAGCTCGTGACACGTCATGTATGTCTCATTTCGACGCTATGCCGTATCAGTAAACCCAGTCTGCAAATCTTATTCAACAGATAGGAATTCTGTATATACATGCACATATTCATATAAAGTACACAGACGCTACCTAAAAACTAAGAACCACTCGAGTCTACCTGCCAACGGAATTCTAAAGAAGAAAAAGAAAAAAGTCAAATCGCTCAATTGGCCATGGTACTTTCGTTAAACAAGTCCGCCAGCAGATCATCCTGGCATACTTCCAAGCTTGGACTACCCATACTGTATGTGCTCTCAAAAGCATGGATGCTAAGCTGATCAAACCATGGACGGAGGACGCGCTCGATAATCTCGTCCTTGGCAGTTTCGCGGATCCAATCCGCCGTGAGGCCCGGTTTCTTCGGGTCGTTGTCGGTCTCGACCGGATTCGTGGGCGTTCGCGGAGATGGTGATGCTCGTACTCCTAGGCCTTGCGATATCTCGTCGGCAAGGGCCATGGATTCCCAGCGATCAGGAGGATAGATGGCATCAATTGTATCCGTGACGTAGAGCCACTCGAGGAGTTGGAAATCATCGGGCGCAAGAACCAGCAGTGTATCCAGCAATTTACACGCCTGCAACAGCGAGCACGGATTGTATACCTCTTGATGGAGCCCGAGGGGTATGGCCGCAATGGCTTCTTGTAGCTCGGTGTTGATTATCGGCCAAAACGGAGCCAGCATATTGGTCGAGGTCTTGAGGGTAAGCGCCCGAAGAACCATAAAAATTTCGGCTCGCGTGTTCGACGAGGGAGAGGATGAGATGGTAGCTCCCAGTAAATCTTCTAGTTTCTGGAGGAGACCTGGCAATTCCCCAACGAAGTAGTCATTGTTTGCACACAAGATCAGCAGGGCAATTCTGCGAAAGTTCAACTGCGCCTTGCGGTCAGCATCCAGGCGCGCGGCGGATGCGCCTACACCAAACATGATACCGGCAGTGCTTGGCGGAGGAAGGCGAGCCATCAATTCGGATAGCCGATCTTTATCGGCGAGAACCCATTGCCGCAACAGAGTCATCCAACCATCCTTCACCAAGTCGACCTGTGAGCCGAAAAACCTGGGATCGTTGAAGGCATCTGATATGTCCTTCTTCCAGATCTTGGCTGCAGCGGGGGCTTTAGCTATGTGCTGCAGAAGAGCCATGAAACTGCGGTTCACATTGTTTGGGAAAAGCCGCGACCGCAATAGAGGAGCAATCACATTGGTCGAGATGCCAGAAACGGCCGAGCTGATACGATCCGAATCACCCAAGGTAGTGGTGAAGGCTGGCATGGATAAGGAGAGAATGCTTAGCATATCATCAGGCCCCATGTGAGGCACGGACGAATTATCATGGTCCAAAGAGGCCCGACTCATTAGGCCGGATTCCTGAGACAATCCCAGAGGCTTGCTCGTGAAAATAGCTGTAAGTAAGCGAAGTAAAACATCCTAGAGAGAATTGTTATTAGTCGAAGCACTCGTGTGGTTGGAAGGATTTCATACCCCAAGCTCCCTTCGCATTCGCCGGTCATCGCCGAAGCTTGTATTATCCAACTTAGCTCCTAGTATGGCAGCAAACTCAACCAAGCGAGGAAGGATCTGCCGATGCGGGAATGGGTTACTTAAAACATCACGCAAAAAGGTAGTGCAGTCAGCCCAAATCTCGTCCAGAACATCATCGTCAAGGGACTTGGCGTATGCTACTAGAAACCCGGCCAGCTCCGCCTCCGTCAGGGAGGATGACAGAGTGGATTTACGGCTTGGGTCCAGTGCCGATGGATTCGTTCGCGTATAAATTGCATTGAAAACGGCTGGTATCGTGATCTTGGGTCTAGAGCCATCCAAGGTGTGGATAAGACTGAAGATGAGAGATGAAGTATCAGGATCTGACTTCGTCCACATCTCCACCAGTGTCTCCAGAGATTCAAGAGCTTCCGCGGTGAAAAGATGTTCTAGAATTCGTCGAGACCTGTTCCTCATGCGCAAGGAGGTATATTGGAATGATGCAACAGACTCCGCATCTTGAGGGAGAGTGCTCCTTTCCACAGCGCCCCATGACCAGATAGAGAAGCATAATCGCACAGCATCTTGGAAGCACAGTAGTACTGTAAGTCTGTTGTTGGCAGCTGACGGTCGGTTTTGACCAGCATCCGAAGAAAAGACACCTGACACCATGTTTCCGAAGAAACCATGTGTTTGATCGGGGCTTTTAGCGGCTGGTGTATTGGTTTCCTCGAAGAGAAGGCGTTCGTGAGCAGTTGCAATACATGTCTCAAGACCGGCAAGCAATGCAATAATCGCATGCTCCGAGCGGTCCTCGCGCCACTTTATTGTTTGCTTGAATGCGAGCTGAAGACTGGCGTACGAGAGTTGAATCTCCTTGCAGAAGCATTCCACCAACAACAAAAGGATCTGAAAAATGGACCCTGTATACAATGGGAGCACCTCGCAGAGCAGTACAGTCCATCGTTCCACAATCTCTCTGGAGTTTGGCGAGCTGATACCCTTGAGAATACAGTCGAGCAGGTGTTGCGGAGGCTGTGGTAAGATTGACACCGCGGGAGACTTTTCAGCTTTATCACTCGTGAAAGACAATATTGATGGACTCGTTAGGCGTTCTCGGGAGCTAGCTCTCTGATGTTTCGGCCTAGGAGGGGGTGGAGGTAGATAGGCCTGAGCAAACCGAACCTTCAATGCAGCAAGAAGGGTGTCGATAAGCGCTCCTTGTATGGCGATGCTGCCACCCGCATCGAGGACGTGTAAGAGTCGGTCAACAAGAAAAGCGTCAATACCGGACTCGACGATGATTTCGGCGCCGGGACCTAGTAGAAGCTGGCGCATGACGAGAAGGGCGCTTTGCTGTAATTTGACCTCGTCGAGGGAGGTCTGTTCAGCACTGGCAATCTTCCCACTGACTACTTTTAAGGTATGCTGGAAGAAGGTTGAATGCAGGGATTCCGCTTCGGCACGGTCTTCCGAGGTGCGAGTCTCTTTATGTTTCTCCACTTGAGGTGGTGTATGGGTCAAGAGAGCGACCCAGCCATTGTGCGAAACTGCAGACAGAGAGCTATGGAGTGTTTCCAACAGATAATTGCCTTCTTTGTAATCATCGGGAGATATCGTCAAGCCCTCCGTGTCAGCCTCAGATTGGTCAACCCGTGAAGATAAAGCTTCGAGCCTCGAGACAAGTATAAGGAAAACTTTGTGTATCGATGATAGATCCTGAAGCCACTGTTCGACTAGGTGAGAAGCCTCACTTGGCCCCTGGGATAAAAGATCTAAAACAACAAAAAGTGGCCGTTCCAGAATCGACGATTGGAAGAGTAAATGGGCCGGAGCTGATTCATTCTTGTGTTTCGGTGGCGGGTCATATGTCCCATGGTGGCTGTGATTCCATAGCACAAAGTATCTGCCGATCTGCTCTTCCGATGATGAGTGGCGAGATGCAGCTGATGATGAGTCAATCATCAAAGACGTTATAGCAGCCTCGACAATGTGGTCCGGCCAGGAGACTGAGTGTAGGCGCCACAAGCAACGAACCGCCTCAACGTGATATTTTGGGTTCAACGGCGAGAGGAATTGCCACAGATGCTTGACGAGTGACGGAATAAGATCAGTAAGATCTTCATAACTGATATAAAATCCAGGAGAATGAATGGAATATAAGCTTGTCACGGCAGACGCAATCGCCGAGGTGGACGAGAAGGAGGAAGCAGACGGATCGGCTTGATCTACGTTCGCTCGGTTGCAAATTGCAAGATAAAAACGCCGATCGCGTAGAACACGCGCCTTCGGCAGTTTTCTAAGTAAGACGATAAGAAGATTGACCCTGTCATGAATCGGCAAAGCAACATCATGATGATCGAGAGCGGCAATAGCGAGTTCATGGGCTTTGCTAATGATGAGTCCGCCTAAGACTTTAGGGGCAAAGGGTAATGGTGGTAGATCCAGGCTCCCTTTGCTTTGGTCGTAAAATCGATGAATTTTGCGTAGGGCCTCAGAATCATCAATTTGAGATGTTGACGTTTTGTTCGACCCTTTATCAGAGGTGTTCTTCCTTGAGAAAGCCCTTTCTGTAATCAGTCCTGTCAGAGAATGCATCACCTTCGAGAGGCTGTTAGATAAAAGCTGTAGTTGATCTTCCGTTAATGAGGAGTGATCTTCTTTTGGTAGCTCACGCATTTTCACAAGGACCGACAGAGTTAGTATTGGAACATGTGTAAGCACCATATCTTCCTCTCGCACATTGAAGTTCTCTAAGATGAACTGAGCGAGCTTCAAATTGCTCAATACCTGGTCATAATCGTGACTCAATTCACCCGATTTCCAGTCAACCAGACGAAGGAGTTCAGAGAAGATCATGCCACTTTCAACTCCATCGAAGAAAGCACTCGCGCTACGGAATACCTCGTCAAATTGGGTTTTCGGCGCTACCGATTCAAAGGCCTGGACGCTCCGAATAATAGGAAGAAACACCGCTGGCACGATGTATCCTCCAATTTCCCACCGGTCCATCAATGAAAGTGATATACGGAAGGGTCTTGTCTTCTCGGAGGGAATGCGTGTGTCCTGCTCTATCATTTGGAGAAGACCCCCAATCAGTGGATTCAGACCAAAGCGACTGAAGTATTCTGACTGAGAGATCTCCTGGCTGCCGACCGCAGGGGCCTGTCTCTCGGATGCCGTGTTGCTGCCTTCAAAAGAAGGTCTGTCGTTGGCGGGTTCGGGTCCCATGAGCCAAGCCCATAGTCGCCTATTCAAACTCATGTCACGTCGCCAGACAACGCCAACGGCAGCAATGATCAACCTGCGAAGATCATTGTCTGTAATTCGACCCTGCAAGATAGGGGAGCTGAGCGGAAGGTGCGTAACAAGCAAGTCGAGGAAATTCCGCTGGACGAGGACTTGTTCATCTGATAACCCAGACGCGAAGCAGCGGATCAGTAATCCTGGCTCAGGAGAAACTACTGAGTCGGCCGCTAGTAGAACATCTTGTGGCATGTCGTCGCTTGCCTCCGTCTTGCTCGGCCTACGGTCTGTTATGCCCAATTTTGGGAGATAGCGGTTCAAGTAAGCCAAAACCCCAGACCGTCTGCTAGGGCTAGTGATCGAAGCAAGGAATAAGCATTGCCAAAAGTATTGGCCGCTTGAGGTTGTTTCCACACCTGATCGGTTGGAGTCCATCTGGCTAGAAATATCACGGAATTTATTGACCAATCGAATCGTCGGCTCGAAGTCGTCGCTCGTCTCCTCCTCAAGCCCTGGTAAAAGGGCCAAGATGATCGCCTTCAAGGCGGGACGGATAGCCCATGGCTCCAGGCCACATACATGTGTCTCCACCAGGGACAAGAACAGCGGACGAACCGTGAGAGAGGCAAATGTTAGGGTCGGCGCGATGCCTGGGAGGTACAGAGGTAGGTCCTGCGACAATCCATCGGACTATGTAGGCAAGATAGATGATTAGTAGAGGCGCTTGCACCCAGAGGCCATAGGGAAGTGCAGACCTTTATCAAATCAAATATATATGCGTACACTTCAAGCGTCTTCTGGTGGACTCCAGAAGGCAGCGACGGGTTCAAGCATTGTGCAAGCCGTTTCGCGACGAGCACCTTGTGAGGGACGATTGGTAGATCCGGGGGGTGAGATTGGAGGGCCTGGTATAGAGAGATCATTAGCAAGCCGAACGATTCACACTGCCTTAGTGTATGGAGTCCTACCTTTAACAGCCGACTAAGAAATGAGATGTAATCGGCCCATTCTTGCAGGGCCGTGTCAAACAGCGACAGGGCTCTTTCAACGCTCGACGCATACCGACGGTAGTTCTTATCCTTTCGCAGAGGCTCTGTGTCCGTCCGTCAGTCTTCTGGCCAAGCTCGTGCAGGCGATAACAACAGAAATTTGTTTCAGGGCCAGTGATTCCAGACCTTCTTTTGCACGTAAGCGGGAGCGCGTAAGGGAGCTCTCGGAGCTTGCGGGGGAGTTGGACCGCGGAAACGAGCTTGGATCAAGGCTCATGGTGCGGATTTCGGATGTTCGACAATGAAGAGAGTGTCAGTAGGCCGCACCTCGTCATATTTCGCGCATTGGAAGTGTATTTGCTGCGGTTGAGATCCAACAGCCAGTCGGTGGTTGCGACGTGAAGACACGCAGCCGCAAGGGCAAGGCGGAGGTGTTTTTGGCGGCCGCCTTTTCGGTCCGCAGAACACTTCCATTCCACCTCCGCGGCGTTCGGGTTGGTTCCCCTCAACCCATTTTCCACCCCCACGAACGATGCATTTCCCTTCATTCCCGGCTACTGGAATTAGTTTCTCTTCGACGAGGAAATTCTGCATCACTTGAATAAATCCGACCAGCACAGCGACCGGCCCGAATCTAATGCGGACAAGCTGAGCCTTGGAACATGGACTTGGCGGCTCAGACCCAGTCGCAAGAACCCCCCAGCGAAGACCCGACGACGCATAACGATGGTGCTTCACAATCCTCCTCCTCGAACAAAATCGTGAATTCTAGCGATAGGGACCGCAGCGTCAGCCCCGAGGGCCCACCGCCGCCGTTACCCCCACGCCCCGGTACATTGAGCCTGTTGGATGAAGGGGCGGCCTCCTGCCGCTCGACACAATCAGTCCTGCAGTCCCGGGCTACAACGGCTGTATCGCTGACAGACATCGCTTCTCGGGAAGGTGGAAAGGAAGGCCATGCTTCTCTCAATCCCCAGGGGGCACTAAAGGCTAAAGCGAGCCTTAGTCACTTGGCCAGCTCGCGAGGGAGTGAAACTGGCGACTCGGCCAGTATTAGAAGCTCTATACCGTATGCGGAAACAAGTGACGTGGAGAATGTCTTCAGTGACTTTATTGCAACAGAACCTGGGTTTGGCCAACAGGATAGCACCGGACTGCTTCAGTTCCCGGAATTCCAGGCTGATGATATCGAAGAAGGTTTCGCAAGTGAGTTTGAGAGGGTTGGGGAAGTGGGCGATGAAGGAGAACATGAAGGTTGGTAGCATTCCTGTCCCAGAGATGGAAGCTTCGTTAATTAATCTCCCCCAATACAGAAATGGTTCTAGAGAAATGGAAATCTAAGAGGAAGCATTACCTTATCCTATCGGCTGCTGGAAAGCCGATTTGGACGAGGCATGGCGACGGTGGACTAATATCAACATATGTTGGTGTGATCCAAACTATTATCTCGTTTTATGAAGACTCCAAGGACAGATTAAGCAGCTTTACAGCCGGCGATACTAAATTCGTCGTCTTAACCAAAGGACCATTATACCTCGTGGCAGTCAGTCGATTTCTTGAAAGCGACACGCAGCTAAAGCTCCAACTCGAAGCCCTATATATGCAAATTCTATCCACTTTGACTCTTCCGTCCTTGACTCATTTATTTTCCGTCCGCCCATCAACCGATTTGAAACGACCGCTCCAAGGATCAGAGACTCTGTTAGCAACTTTGGCAGACAGCTTTACAAAAGGATCTCCGTCAACACTTCTTTCGGCACTGGAATGTCTGAAGATTCGCAAATCCCACCGCCAAACAATCAACAACACATTACTCAAGACCAAAGTTGCTGGTCTTCTTTACGGCTTGGTCGTTGCCGGAGGTCGACTAGTCAGCGTGGTACGACCCAAGAAACATTCTCTGCATCCTGGCGACTTGCAGCTTCTGTTCAATATGATTTTTGAAGCCGAAGCTGTCAAAGCTGGCGGTGGTGAGAGCTGGATCCCCGTCTGCTTGCCGGGATTCAACAGTAGCGGGTATCTGTATATGTATGTCAGCTTTCTTGATCTTCGAGAAGATGCTGGCAACCTTGCAGACGCTACTACCACGAAGGAAGAATCGGTCGCTATTATCTTGATCAGTACAAATAAAGAAAGCTTCTTTGAAATGCAAGAAATGCGTAACAATTTCGTCGAGGTAAGACCAACCACCTCTCATTACTTCTGTCACCTAGACTCCACAAGTGCTAACTTATATACCTACTATCCAGCAAATGGAAAAGAACGGCAGCATCAGCATCGTCAAGGAGGCTATAGATAAAGGCCGACCCACGACCACCGACATCATCCCCGGAACGGTTCTGCATCATTTCTTGTACAAGTCGCGGGCGAATGTACAGTTCACCATGTCATCCTACCACCCTGAATTCATATCGGCCACACGGCGGCGAAGGTTCGTAGTCTATTCCCGCACTGAAGGATCGATGGATAGTGAGAAGCTAACAAACCCTTCTAGGCTTTTATCAACATACAACAATCTCCATGCGAGCATCCACGCCAAGCACTCCCATGTCAAAGTCCACCATTGCGTGTCCCAGTCGTCTAGCTCCTTTGCATGGGTCACGCCAGTGTTCGAACTCTACTGCGTTGCCGTTCCCAATGCCAATCGAAATGCGCTTGCCCAGAGCGCAAGTCGAATCGTGCAATGGGTACAGCAGGAGGAGGAAAGGTTGTTTATCATCGGTGGCGCGGTAGGTTATTCTATCAGCATTTGGACTTGACTCGTACTGACTATCTTATTTGAAGGTCTTTTAAATAGCGACCGTGGTATCTTTATAATATCATATAAGCTTTATACCTACTTGCTTTGTGTGACAACTACGTTTTTTCTTTTCTTTTCCTTTTATATTTTTCTGGATCATGATTGCATATTATAACTTTATGGGCTTGCCACATAGAGATGGATTTTAAATACGACATTTTAAACTATAGAATGATATACCTGACGCTTGGGCTCATTCATTGGCAGGATCGGGGCTGTAGCACCCCCTATAGCATATTTAATGCGGCCAATAATAGATACATGCCATTTACAAACAAGCGATAACGACAAACAACTAGCATGGCTCTCTCGAAAAGCATCAAAAACAAGAACAGCCTAGTCAAGGGTGTCATCCCTGAGGGCAAAAAGCTGCTGCAGAAGCTCATCCGGCTTGCTGCGGATGGCGTTGTGGTACATGGTGTTTGTGATAAACTGCTTGATGCCCTTGATCTTGGCCGCTGTGTTCGAGGCGTGGTGAAAATGCACATACATGTCCTCCACGTAGGACGCGGCGTAGACGGGGACGGTGTTTTGTGCCAGTTGGGCCTCATTGTAGAGGGCGGGCCAGTCGTTCGTCGTGGCGAGAATGTCCGCTGTTTCTTTGACTTTGTTCAACTCGTCGTAGGTGTCGAACATGTCTTTGAAGACCTGGATGGGGTTGTTTTTGTTAACGCTCGAAGAGAGAATGATGGGTGTGGGGCATACCATTTCGCCAGTGAACCAGATTTCTGGCAGATCGGTGTTGATGTGGAAATGGGAATTGGCCGCACGGTACCTATCGGAAGACCAGTTCGAGGGTTGTCTGGATTTTTTAGCAGGGAAGCATGGTTGTGATCGAGTGATTCCTTACCCTTGGCAGTAAATGGCTTCGTGGAGAATAGCATAGATGATGTTGCTGTCAAAGCCGCCGTTGCTATCGATTGCGTTGAGCGTTGGAACAGTCAAGAAGCCGAACACCTGCAGGTCATTCCAAGCACGCAGGACGAGGTCTATTCGTTGTTAGCCTTGAGAATATGAGTTGGAAAGGTCTGTCATACCATGGACGCCATCCAGCCCCCCTATTCAGAGTCAGCCTTATGTGTCGATCATGTAGGATTTAGATTCATTACCGTGCATGCCAAATATGATACCCAACTGTTGGAACCGCTCCGGAGTGAGCGTTCCAGATGGCACGGCCACCTGGTTATCCTGCAAGTACTTGACAATTTGCTTGACTCTTTCCACGTCTTCGGGGAATTTGGCATAGTACGCCTGGTTCCTCTCCACCACCTTTTCTACTCATGATTAGCGGGCAATGAAGGAGGTTGGCATTCAATATTCAGCATACCGAAGGTCAGCGCGTAGACTGGATCCGGTCCGTCGACCAAGGGGGGAAGTCCACCGCAAATGAAAGCTTCATTCAGACCCTCGGGGCTTCGAAGAAAATTTGACCGTTAGAAGGGCGAATCGGGGGTTTGAAAGATTCACTACAAAGACTCTTGACTTACAAGAGGGAGAGGTAAGTCACCGCGCAGAAACCGCCGAAGCTCTGCCCGATGATGCTCCATTTGCGCTCGCCTTCGGGATAGTCGGTAGTGAGACAGCGTCGGACCGCTTCGCAGTCCCGGACAATATTGTCCGCGCGGAAATGCTTCAGGTACTCGGCTTGCTTGACTGCGTTTCCCTGCAAAGCAAGAGTACCAGCCGTGATCGTTGAGCTGAGACCGGTGCCGCGCTGGTCTAGAAAGAGGACCTGTGGTGAATGTGAGCCAAGCCGACCGACAGGTCGATTGGATTGATTACTTACTTGGTAACCCTTTTCAAGAGCCGTTCCAATCCAGCCGTACTCCTGGGGAGGTCGACATCCCATTCCAGGGCCACCTTGGAGGTAGACCAACCACGGAAGGCGTTGGTCATCTTTTGTCGGCTGAACTGGCTTGTTGTGGCGACGAACGCTGCGAGCAAAGAGTCTCAAGGTTCCATCATTGGGCTTGCTGTAGTTGATGGGAACATCGAAGAACAGTTCGGCCACTCGAAGCTTGCCTTCCCCGCTCGTCAGTAACTCACTCTGCCGACGATAGGACATTCTAGATGATTGATACACACCTGGAACGTTGTGGATTATTCGATCGACTAATTTGGCAGCCATTCTCGCGTTTGGGTTCGCTGTAGATTGTAAGTTGAATGTTGGTGGCCCTCGGGGGAAAACAGAAAGGTTGGTAGAGACGGGCGGACGCTAGGTACCTGCATTGATGAACCCCACCCCGCCTCTTGTCATCTCCAACATCCTCCACCTCTCTGATCTTGCACACAACTAGATATAATCAACCACTCAGGTCGCCTTGTGGTCTTCTGGCAAAGAATACTTGATTCCCATTTGGGCTAAGTTAACCTTTAGCTTACAATATAAATAAGACACTTAATATCTGAGAAGTTAAGGAGAAAATATCCAATTCAATTTTAACAAAAACCCAGAGGACCAAGCAATCGTGGTTAACGATTCAATTGATGAGAAAAAGAGGAATCGCGCTGCCCCAAGCAGTATGGGTATCATAATAACTGGGATCGTAATTCAAGCTTTCCCGTAAGCTATCCGCGGCATATATTCCAGGTCCGGATAAAAAACGCTAGAGTTGACTTCAACGCGGCTACCACGGTACCAGGGGTTTCAAGACCCTAGAGGTAACCTCCTGCTTGGCGGCGAATCGCGTTCTCAAGTGAATGAAAATTCCCGTGATTCTTGACCTCCATACACAAGATGTTTCCCGCAGGCCTCTGTAGCCGACTAGTGCTGGTGATCTGCGATAAGGGAAAGAGTGTGGGGGTTTCTGTGACCCCATCTAGGATCTCATTCTGCTCGACAACCTCATTCGGCTAGTCGACCTCTTCTGTTAGACCATTCTGTTAGACGAACGCATTGTTCGGGGCACGAGCGGTCTCTACTTCTTCATTGCGGGTGTTACCGCCGCCGGGGGAGCGAGCAGTCTCTTCGTCTACCATTGTTTGTATGAAAGAGCTTCTTCTTCTTCGCAAGATTCTGAAGTGGAAAGGCTCCGTCGATGAGCGTCGTCGTCTTGGAATCGTCACAAAGGCAGTAGATATTGAGGGATTTTGAATCGCTTGCGGATGCCGGTACTCCTGACAAAATGTCTGCTCCGTATCGAGTATTTATAGCTGATCGCTCGTGGAATTTTGTGGGACCTTAAACTTTGCAGGAAAATTGCTGCTCGACTTTCCGCTATGATGCAGGAGAGTACCAGTTTGATGACTCCATGAGGAAGGAACCTTCAGAATATAAGCCACTCAGTAGATAACATATACTGGTCGAAACAGTCCTACTGCGTGTCCGCACAAAACATTCAAGACAACCACTGTGGGTTCCTGCACGGATGAATAGTAACACGACCAAGATCAAGGCATAAGTCTTATAGCCACCTGTGTCGTATCTACGTCTGCAAGTTCTAGCAAAGACACTCATCTACCTTTCAACTCTCCCAACTAAGACACCTTTCTACCTACTCATCTACTCACCTTCTTACCTTCTCATCTTCCCCTGTCCTCTCTCTTGTCCTCTCTCTTGTCCTCTCTCTCGTCCTCTCTCTCGTCCTCACACACACACATAACTTGATCGCTCTATCTCTCTACACGGTCTTTGAACGTGAGCCACTGCTTCGAAGGAGGAACCTTCATTAGCTTGATATAAAAGCACTCTACGAGCCTTTTAGTCTGATCAAGGCCTCGTCCGTATTGAACAAAGGCAATCATGGCCCCAAGTCCCTTTTATGAGTGAGTTTCTTCCAGACTGCCTAGTAACTGTGTACAGAATACACCTAACCTTTCCCTTACAGACACATCTATTCTGAAATAGTTCAACTTCGTTCATCCGATTCTGGCCGCCACTTCAATGTCCACAAAGACCTTTTAGAGTCGAAGTGCAAAGTCATGTACTCAGCTCTATCGAAGGGATTTCTTGAAACCAAGGAGGGGGTGTATACCTGCACTGATACTACCCATGGCACATTAGCACTGGCGGTTGAATGGATGTACACTGGAACGTATACCGAGCCTGTCCACCATGTAGCCGAGGCAGTGGTGGGACAGCCTCCGGGGATGGAACAAGAAGTGAATCCCAACAGCTTGAACGATCTTGCCGACGAGACGAAGAGTCACCCGATTATTGCTCACCTGCAGCTGTACATTTTCAGCGACCTGTACTTGATGGCAGGTTTAAAGCAGACTGCATTTCAGAAGCTCACGGGTCAATTAACTCTCATGGACAAAGCCAAAAATGTCGAAACACAGCGAGCTGTCATTGCCATGTTACATTTGGCCTTCAGCAAGATCAACCCAGATGACGAGCTCCTCGGCTGGTTGGCACATTTTGCATCGTGGAACCTCCTTGGGCTTCTTCCGCGACCTCTCTTCCACGATCTGTTAGTTAAGGTTCCTGCTTTGGGCTCTCTTATGATGTATTCCTTGTATCCAGCCAAGTTCACCCCCTGGAGCTCTCGGAAAGTCAATAGGGGTTAAACTGCATCATGGTCATTCAGTGCCAGTCAACGTCGAAGAACAAGACCCCACAGGCAACCTTTAGCTTTAGCTTTGTGATCTTGCATATTCTTGACTCTCATCTGCGTCTCTTAAGTTTCGTTCGTTTCTCTTTTCATCTTCCGTTTTTTTTCATTGTCATTCGCAAAGTCTTTTCATCTTGAACTTTTCTTTTAAAACTTTCATTTCCCGAGTTGATCGCTCTGATCTATACATATTTCGGTTTTATTTTATTGACATATGAGAAGAAGAGGGAAGAAAAGAAAAGATCTGCAAGCGTTCCGGTGGAAATTGGGAAAAGAGCGCCAGGAATCAAGGAGTGGGAAGCACTCTGAATCAAGGACTTGTTTACTGTTTTAGGTCTATTGGACATTAGTACCGTTGCTCGTTTATTCTTTTTACCTCATAATTCAGAATTTTATTGCTGCAGATGATTGCAAACCCCTTAGCCCCGAGTCTTGGACAGTTCAATCTTACGAAGGAATAACCATGCGAAATAGGATACTCTGTCTATTGGTTCGGGGGACAAATCGTGACTACAAGTCCTGAGTCACTATCATGATGGAAACTACACCGACCAACGGCCATTGTCCAAAATATACCAACAACCTTCTCGTTCCAAGTCTCTTACCATTTCCAACATTTTCTCCATTAATCTTCTTTCGCCCATTCTTCAAACCACCATCCTCAAAATGGAGCCCAAAGACATCAAAGAGTCGTCCCGCGAGCAGGCTCGCCTTCAACAGGATCTCTGGGAGATCGCCCAAAGCCCGTGGAAGACCGGCGTCTTACCAAATCCCGAGATCCTGTCCCGCGCGAGAGAGTCGCTCCCTCGCTCCCTTCCTACAGATGGGATCGGGTTCGACTCGGCCAAAAGACACATCCTGGATGACATTGTTCCAGCATTCAATGGTAGCAGCATCAGCCCTAATTACTACGGCTTTATCACTGGCGGGACCACGCCAGCTGCCTTGTTCGCAGACAATTTAGTGTCCGTCTACGATCAGAACGTCCAGGTCCATCTCTCCGAGCATTCAATCGCCACAGACGTGGAATCTATCGCCTTGGGCCTCCTCGTCGATCTGTTCAGACTAGACCGAAACGAATGGCATAATGGCACATTTACCACTGGGGCTACAGCAGCTAATCTGCTTGGATTGGCCTGTGGGCGCGAGTTTGCAGTTCGCGCTGCTGCAGACAAGAAGGGAGTTTCTAAACACAGCGTTGGAGAATGGGGCTTGTTCGACGTCATGCATGCGTCGGGTCTATCTGGATTACAGGTTTTAACAACGCTTCCTCACTCGTCTATCGGCAAATCGGCCGGGATCCTGGGATTCGGCCGCGCCAACGTAATCAATGTCTGTCGGGATGGCAGCACCAATCCCCTCGAATTTGACCTTGAAAAGCTTGAATGCGAGCTATCGAGACCAGATAAAGCAAGTATCGTTGCCGTGTCTTGTGGAGAAGTGAATACCGGTCGCTTCGCGACCGCCGGGAGGACCAAGATGCAAGAGCTTCGCGACCTCTGCGACAAGTACGGCGCTTGGTTACATGTTGATGGTGCATTTGGGCTGTTTGCCCGTGTTTTGGACGATAGTCCAGAATTTGCTTCCATCCGAGCCGGTTCTGATGGACTAGAGCTGGCTGATTCTATCACCGGTGATGCGCATAAATTGTTGAACGTTCCCTATGACTGTGGCTTCTTTCTTACGCGCCACCGCAATGAATCAGCCAACGTGTTTACCAACCCAAATGCAGCGTATCTCACTGGGGGTGCTGATCCGTCCTCGATTCCATCTCCATTGAACATCGGAATAGAGAACTCGAGACGGTTCAGAGCCTTGCCTGTGTACGCCACGCTTCTGTCCTACGGCTCATTGGGCTATCGATCTGTGCTTGAGAGGCAGATTAGACTGGCTAGAAGGTTGTCAGCGTGGCTTTTTGACCACCCAGAGTATAATATACTCCCCGAAACAAACACCAAGGAAGTGCAGCTGGATTATACATTCATGATTGTTCTGTTTAGTGCCAAACAAGATGATCTGAACCAGACCCTCGCTGCAAGAATTAACGCGACTTCGAAAATGTTTGTCTCTGGGACATCCTGGCAAGGAAGACCGGCTTGTCGAATCGCCATTTCGAACTGGCGGGCTGATGAAGAGCGTGATTTTGACCTTGTTACTGGGGTTCTGGATGAAGTGGCTAGACAAGCATAAGTGGTCGAAGGGGTACAAGACCATGTTGAATTTTGCCATGGTATGATATATAAGAATACATAAGCGTTCAATTTTGTCTTCTAATTCGACCGTCGAATGGTTAATTGGTCTTATCAAGTCAAGTTCGACGAGTTCTATGGTGTTGATTACAGTAATAGAACAAAACAATGGATGTCGAGTATTGGTCATTCATTTGGTTTAATAAATATCTGAAATCACTATCGGCGTCTTCCAGCACCCCCAACATTCTCACCCCGGTCAGCAATGCTGACCACTTCGCCGATACCTGACGCTTCTTGTTCATCTTCCAAAGCCATGATCTCTTCTCTGCTATCCCACCATCTCTCCTCGGCAATGTTAAACGCATCCTTGCGCAACTCTTTGATGTTCTTTTCCGCCGCCAGGCCCTTCTCCCGCAGAGTCTCGAGTAAAATCTTCTGCCACTCCTCGGAAGTACGGCTGAAGAATTCGCGCAAGCTCTCGAACGGCCGAGGAAGAGGTCTGCTATCCTGCACCGACGGCTCGCCTTCCGGCTCCTCAACTTCGAGCTGCTCCATTTCTTGAGTCACAGACGGTACCGTGACTTCCGTAGGAGCGGGAGAGGCATTGTCCACAGACATGACATCCTCTTCATCTTCCTCGTCGTCCTCCTCGTCATCGTCGTCCATCTCATCGTCACTCTCATCCTCGTTGAGAAGGTGCCAGTTCTCCGGTTCGTTATAGAAGACCTCCTTGACACCGTCGAGCTTGACTAAGTCGATCGAGTACATATCGTTAAAAGTAAATTCGCGGTCTCCCTTCTCGAAGGTTCCACCGAAAATGAACAGAGTATCGTCTTGAACCGCCAAATGAGCGTTGAAGCGACGGTGGGGCATCTCAAAGCGCACGACAGACGGCTTCTGCGGCTGCACAGGCTCTTCTTCCTGTTTCGGCGTACCTAAATCCATTTCATCATCATCCTGGTTGTTGATGCCGCCTTTCGCTTCCAACGCTTTCAGGTTCTGCAACAGCTCCTCTTCATCGGCCTTGCTACGATCCCGGGATTTAGCCGCCTGGTTGGCTAGCTGCTTCTTGCCCGGAGCTCGGGGGCGACGAAGACTCAACGGGAAAAAGCGATTCCTGTCAGTATTCCAAGCGAAAAGAGCATCGAAGAACTCGCTGTCAATACCCTCCTCGCTCAGCTCGACATCGTGGACACCGCCAAACATGATACCACGTCCCTTGTGATACGCCATGGTAGAACCGGCTCGAGGCGGGTTGGGGGAGTTGGCGGGCTTCTTGCGGCGCTCCCAGCGAACGGTGGGAGCCGCAGTCGCGGGTGCGTCGGACTCCGGGGGCGTGATCCGGAGGAACCAGGTATCTTGATGGACCATGGGCTTCATCGTGACTCGCTGGGGTCCACCTTTCGACGGCTTGCCTCCGATTCCCGTTGTGGCCTTAACGCGGGAGTATCCGCCGTAGATGACCGCGCCGGTTTCGTTGGGCAGAAACGAGAACGAGGACCTGGGGTCCGGCTTCTGGGCTGCTGCGGACAGGGTAGGATTGAACCAGGTATATCGTGAACAATCGTATACCCACAGATCCTGGAGGTACTTCGTCTGCTGCGAGGTATCTTGGAAACCACCAAAGACGAGAATGTAGTTCTAAGTCACGGTGAGCACTGAAAAGCAGATCAGATAAGGCCTTGGATTCCAACCTTGTAGTAGGTCATCCTGTGACCACTCCTAGCCGGAGGTCCCTTTCCTTTGGTCTCGATGCGAGTCCACTCCCTTGTTGAGGGATCAAGGTGCCAGAAATCATTGTAATGATAAAATGTTCCTTGCTTTGGCGAAGAAAATTCTCCTACACAGAACTTGGTTAGTTCCATTCACCTCAAACACCTGAAAAACATCAAATAGAGAGTCCTCACCTCCAAAGAGATAAATCCCCCCGGTATTCCCGCCACGACACCAAGCATGTCCACTGCGAGGAAGGGGGCTGTTGGGACTCGTAACCTCCCTCCATTCACCCCGATCGATCAGATAAACAAACAAGTTGTTGAAGAACGACGCCAAGTTACCATCGAAGTACTCGCCGCCGAATATCAACAACTCATTTCGATTTGACGGAGACGCTAACACCGTCGCGGAGGTCCGAGGCGATGGCGGTCCTGATACAACCTCGGTGACTTTGAGGAACTTGGCCTGTTCCTCTGCATACTGGGCTAGAATGGCGTCGAGATCCGCCTCGTCCACATCGCTGTCCGCATCTCGTCCCTTGTTCTTGGTCTTCTTTTCCGTCTTTGCGGCCTTTTTGGTCTGTTTGGCGGCCACTCGGTCCTTGTGTTCGGCGGACTTCTTGTTTTTCTTGCCCATGTTTAGTTGGGTTCTTTGGAATCTGGTGAAATTGGATTCTTCTGGGTTTATGTGCCTCTACTTCTGGAGGACTCAGTTCAATACTTTTCGTATTCAATGCGTGGTGGAATCACCGCCAATATTCAATATCAGATTCTACGGCCGCGGGGTAAAAAAAAAAAAAAGGCATCCCCTCGTTTTTTTACGGGGTAATATGATTACCCATATAGTACCTAGTAGGTATATTGTCCATACAGATCTACTCCGTACATTGCGGTGCATAAATAGGGAACTGAAATCTACATAGTGAACAGAAGTAAAGAAGACCAAATTGTGACTTACTCTAGTCCCGAGTAGTACGTAGAATAAACAGAGAAGATAACAACAACCTATGTCTACCATAACCACTGTAAGAGCAAAATCAGGGTCTTGTAATATCAATACCAGCGATACCCTCTACGGTTTCTGCCGGAACCCTCTCACCGCCCACCTGACGACGCGCTCGGACGCGTTCCCGGAGCGGAAATCGCATGGGTGGATTGACGCTGTTCAGCGGCACCAATTGTTCGCTCTTTGCTGCCCAGCAACAACAGGACAACCACGCTACACGAATGCCTTATTTTGAGTCCGTTTGCCGAATCATGAAAACGAAGCCACGACTCTATGACTAGACACAACTTGGAAGTCCATCTCAAATGGCTTTTAGATCAAGGCCCGTCTTCCTACACATCTCTATCGCCGTCTCCGCGCGTCTCTAGCGACCTCTCCGCCAGCCAGCGTCCCACGGGAGACCCGTCAATCCCAGCGCCAATCGCCCCGGTCGGCCATATTGCAACGAGTGCCGTAAATGATACGGAGTCACTCCAGGATACCTTTGTGGATGATGATTTGGAAGCCGGCGCGGGGACCGATTCGGATATAAACATGGCACGGTTACTACTTGCTCCGCAGTCGTCGAGAAAACCCCGTTTGCTCAGTCACCCCAAAGATCCAATTCCTGGTGTACCAAAAACTCCCAATGGTCGCTCATCCCTCGACACTCCGCAGAGTAGTCGCAAGGTTTTACCACAAACATCAGCCAAAGGTATTTTTACCTCACCGTCGCTTTCTTACATTAGCCCAAACATAAATTAAATAACCATTGAACTCGAAAAGGCAGTCAAAGCGCGCGCCCGTCAATTTGTGCCCCCAACCCGCCAGAGGCTACGCCGTTACAAGCGAAATCCCCTTTCGACGATTTTGATTCTCCGTTTCTTGATCTCGATACGGTCGACTTAACCGGCGACTTGGACCAGACTACCTCGTCGGCAGCCGCCGATGAGTTCGGCGAATCTCGACGTGTATGGACCGAAGATGCTGCGTTGCGCACGGACCCCGTGGAGAAGCGAGGGAAGAAACGAAAGAGCGACGAGTACACCTCCGATCTTCGCTCACCGAGGAAGCATGCCCCGAAAGTGCGGTCGCCATTGAGCACAGTGGACGACGTTCCTTCGCGCTCCAACTCAACACGGACTGTCAAGAGCCCACTCTCACGCCCAGTCAAGCATGACCTGAGTTCTCCTTCGAAACGACCTACACTCGACCTTTCGCGACCTCAAAGCAACCTTTCAAGAGATGTTATTGCCGATTCCGACGAAGATGGCGATGAGAATCTGTTTGATGATTGGGAATGTGAAGATGAATACATGGTACCTGCCACCAGCGAGGTTTTGTATCCGATTCTGCCCAAGGACGAGGATATTGCGGATGCCGAGGACAACAAGAAGCCCGCAAAGCGGCGAACGCCTAAATCTCCGGTCAAGCCGGTGGATACTAGTGCACGTTCGAGTAGTGAAGGAATTCAAAGTTTTGGGAGGCCTTCCGACGTGCCCTCTTCCAGTATTTCAGGCGCCCCGCCTAAGAATGAAGATGTCGTCAAGTTCCTAGCCTCCCCTGTGGATTTGCTAGACGGGCAGATAGCATCACTTAGGGATACGCTTACACGGAATGCTGAAATTGTGTACGAACAGGCAATGAGAGGTGAAACTGCACCTGGGTTGATTGCAGAAAACAAGAGCATCACCGACCGGATCGAAGCCATTGAGTCGTTGAAGCTGAAAAGGGCTGAATATGAGGCCTGTGAAATGAAGAGGAAGGATCTCAAGAAGACCCTGATGCAAGTGATATCACAAGGTGGCAGTCCAGAATCGTTGCCACGGGAATTAAAAGAAAGTCGGGAAATGACTTCCCGCGCCGAGGAGATGGAAGCAGATATACAGAGTCTCCTTTTGCGCGCTGGTGATCTACCAGCCCATTCCGTGCCAAACAATAGTAACATTGCGCAGCGTGGTTTGGATCGAAACAACCTATCACTTCGGGAGACCAAGTCTCCTAGCATTAGAGAGAAATTTGGACCGAGGCACTCAGAGTCTGCTGGCAGCTCGCTGCTTCGGCCCTCCGTAGGATCTACCTTTAACTACAACACTTCCCGAAGCGAGATCTCAGCACCTCCTCTCAATGCACACAAGAGGACTACCAATGGGAGCGCGGGACTGGGTATCTTTGACTACGACGATCCAATGATGGATGACGGTGATGATGCTTTCACTAGGACGATGGGATCGCCAATTTTCCAAAATGATCCTATCGACGAGTTTGACTTGGACGCCGATGATGACGAGATGCTGGAGGCTGCAGGTTACCTGGATGTGAATCACACAGTTCCATCTAACAGTCATGAGGCCCCGCCCCGAAAGGTCTTTGCCGAAACATCTGCAAACGCTCTTCGCCTTCCGTCTCCTCAGAAGTCGCAAAGCCACACTGCGTTGTGGGACCAGCATTCGTGGTCTAAGGATGTGAAAAAGGTTCTGAAGGACAGATTTCATTTGCGTGGCTTTCGGCTTAATCAACTGGAGGCTGTAGACGCAACGTTGAGCGGGAAAGACGTCTTTGTTTTGATGCCCACTGGTGGAGGCAAATCCTTATGTTACCAACTTCCTTCTGTGGTGACCAGTGGCGCCACCAAGGGAGTGACACTAGTGGTTTCCCCATTGCTAAGTCTCATGCAGGATCAGGTGTCTCATTTACACCGCAACGAAATTAAAGCATTTGTGATGAATGGCGACACCCCAACTGATGAGCGAAAATGGATTATGAGCACGTTAGCTAGTCCGAGACCAGACAAGCATATTGAGCTGTTGTACATCACGCCGGAAATGCTAAGCAAGAACCAAATTCTGACCCGGATATTGGAGCGGATGAATGAAGCGCACCGACTTGCGCGTATCGTCGTTGATGAGGCACATTGTGTCAGTCAATGGGGGCATGACTTTCGCCCTGACTACAAAGAACTTGGGGAGATTCGAACTCACTTGCCTGGGGTACCAATGATGGCCCTGACTGCCACTGCCACGGAAAACGTCAAAGTGGATGTGATTCATAATCTCAAAATGGAAGGCTGTGAGGTGTTCACACAAAGTTTCAACAGACCGAACTTAACCTACGAGGTGTTGCCAAAGAAGAAGGGTGCCAGTCTCTTGGAGAGTATCGCAGATACTATCAAGACATCCTATCGAAACAAGTGTGGGATTGTTTATTGCCTCTCGCGCGATTCTTGTGAGAAAGTTGCGAGTACTCTGCGGGATGACCATGGGATCAAAGCCGAGCATTATCACGCGGGTCTCAAGTCTCAGGAACGTACTGTGATCCAACAACGTTGGCAGCGTGGACAGACTCATGTCATCGTCGCAACGATCGCTTTCGGCATGGGGATTGACAAACCGGATGTGCGTTTCGTCATCCATCACAGCATTCCGAAAAGCTTAGAGGGCTACTACCAAGAAACTGGTCGTGCTGGTCGCGATGGCAAGCGCTCTGGCTGCTATCTCTACTACTCTTACGGAGACGTCAACCCCATTACTCGGATGATTGATGGGGGCGATGGGAGCAAGCAGCAGAAAGACCGACAGCGCCAGATGTTGCACAACGTTGTCCAATACTGCGAGAACAAGTGCGACTGCCGACGAGTACAAATACTTGCCTATTTCAACGAGTATTTCCGCCCTGAGGATTGTAACGCCGCTTGTGACAATTGCAAGTCTGATGCCGTGTTCCAACTCCGCGACTTTTCTCAGCATGCGGCTTCTGCAATCAAGGTTGTCAGGCACTTCGAGAGATTAGGCGAGAATGTCACTATGTCATACTGTGTCAATATCTTCCGCGGCAGTGTGAAAAAGTTCCGGTCTCCTCAGCACAGGGAGGCTCCAGGCTACGGAGATGGGTCATCATTGGAGATGGGAGAGGCCGAGCGACTATTCCATCGTCTGCTCGGCGAAGGAGCTTTACATGAAGAGAATGTGGTCAACGGTAGCAAATTTGCTAATCAGTATATCAAGCCAGGGCGGCGTGCTGCTGAATTCGCAAACGGTTCTCGCAAGTTGCAGCTTCATGTCAAGGTTTCGGCAAATGGAAAGGGAAAAAGACCTCGAGGCGATTCCGGGAAAGATGATTATCCACAATCAACCAATATCTCATCGCCTGTACAAGCGGGCAACCGGCGCAATCTCAATCGCTTTCGATTGGACAACTCCGACGGCGATGATTCATCTGATGACGACCGGGATAGCGATGGTTTCGAATCCATTCGAGTTGCTGGAAGACCGCAACGAAACAAAAAACATACGCCAGGCCCACCGATCACCCAAGATCATAGGTTTGAACAACTTGATCCTCTTCACAAGGCGGTTGCAGAAGACTTTATGGTCTATGCCAAAAACCATTGTCAGGATGTGAGTAATAGCCAATATGCACTACCACAAGATCAACAGATTACTAACATTTGGAACAGCTGGTTCTCAAGAAGAGCCTCCGCAATCAGCCTTTTACTGATGGTGTTCTTCGCGAGATGGTTATTGTGTTCCCTCAAAGTAAGTATCGCTGCGCTTGTTTAGTCATTACCAATCATGCTAATACAATAGCAGATATGTCGGAGCTTGCTATGATTCCCGGGATTGATCCGGATAAAGTAAATCGATACGGCGCTCAGATCCTGAAGCTCGTCCGAGACACACAGCGTCGTTATGCAGAATTACGAAAGGAACGTGATGATGCAGATGGCGTTGTTCCTGATCCCAATCATCACAATGTCATCAATCTCAGCAGCGACAGCGAAGAATACAATGATGGGGACCTCTTGGATCAGGCCTCGAATCTGGACATAGATGAGAATGTTTCCAGCCGATTCTTCATCACGCAGCCAGTCCCAAGCAATGACTCCGACGATGAGCAGGCTGGCCCTTCGGGCTCGAATGGGTTCAGGGGTCGGAAGCGTCAAACCAGCAAACGGCCTCGTCGGAAACCTCCCACTACATCTCGCTCTGGAACAAAAACGCCGAGGCCCAGAAAGAAGGCTAGTAGTAGCCGCTCCGACAGTCGTCCGTACTCTCGGAAGACTTCGTCGAAAACGAAGGAGCCGACGGCCTCCCGAATAGGGATGATGCCTATCTAAATAATTTGTTCATTTTACGTTCAGCGAGTGCATTATGTCTAGATGAGGATTTCGGTGTTATATGGTGTCGATACATAGTATTATTATTGGATGGCTGAATTGCATTAGCGGGCGAATTGTTGGACTTCCCGTTCGGCGGCATAGGTCTTTGTTGTTGAAATATTAATGATTCTACCCGCATGGCTAGATTACTTTCGGGCAGCTGCCTTGTCAATTGAACGTATACTGGTAGTCTAGGTATGTCCCAAAGAAACTTTATTACAGTTTTCCCGCTTTGGCGTATCGATATTGGACATCAATTATCTTTTTATTGGTTGGTAATTAGGATACGAGCCGTCTATTCGCTCAATGAACGCCCAAAATCAACCAATCTAAGCTTTCTGGCATCGCGTGGGTGAAACTGAGCGACTTTGGCTCTTACCAAAAACCTGGAAGCAGCTGATTCTCGGGGGAGGTCTATGTAGGAAGAACCCGCTTCCAGTAGGACATCAAGAAGGTCGTTCATTTCAGCTGCCGCTGCCTCTCTCTTGTTGCTTCTTCTCTCGGTGTCCCCTTGGCCTGCTTGACGGACCATTTCATCAATTCGCCGCTGATTGTTGCCCCCTTCCGTAGTTTCCACGGGTTTAGGTTTCTTGGGCTTTCCATGGTTCGTATAGCCCCTTTCGAGCGTATCGTCTGAAATCTCAATGGTATCTCCTATCGTTGGACCCCCAAGACTCTCGGCAGCAAGCATCGAAGCAAGGTTCTCATCGATGAAAACACGCAGGGAGTCTTTCAGCTTCTCCGTCTCAGCATCCAGATCTTCTATTTTCTGCTGTTGCTCCTCGAGAAACTCCTGAGCAAGTTGAGAAGGCGTTTTTTCCTCTTTCTGCGACTTCTCGTTCCGGATCTTCTCGAGTCGCTTTTCCAAGCCGTCTCGGATTGCTTGAGCGTCACGAAAATTCGCCTCCTCTACCTTCAGGCGTTGACGATCTGACGAAATTTTTTCTGCTGTCAGTGAAACTGACACTTTGGTTTCGTGGATCAGCCGAGACGTTTCCTCAACAGCAAGAAGAGACGGCAACGGGGACTCGGGATTCGGCAGCTCCGTCCGTGATTTCAGAAGAGGATTATAGGCTTCCTTGGCTCTTCGCACTTGAGACACGCGCGCCCAGGGATCCTGGCCTATTTTGGAGAGATCAATCGAGTTGACCTCGCGAAGCTAATCGGCGCATTAGTGCTTGGGCTTTGTTTTGATCGAGTTCGGGGATCATACCTTCTGCAAGTCATTTTCTTGGCGCTTGACTTGGTTTTTGAGCTCCCTTAGCGTTGAATCAAGTTGTTTGTTGTACTCGCGAAAATCAGCAGTGCTAGGTTGTTCTTGTTCATAGAATTCTTCTGTTTTTTCGCGCTTCTCCACAAAACGCTGGACGTTGTCAACAGTTTCTTGGGACATGTCCGTGGAGGATATTTGGTCTACTTTGAGACCTATTATGTGATGATAACTTGGGATAGTGTTGTTCAGATTAGATATCGTGTCAAGTCACACTCAATTGTGAAAAGAATGGCCTGCCAGATCCGCCATTTGATCGGGGTAACTAAAAGCTGATGATGAGTTCCGGCGCGAGAGGCACGTGATATGGTCTGTGCGAAGCCGGTGCCGAAGGAGGACTAGCGTGACCCCGTGCCAGGTCTTCTTGCAACCTCAACTCTTCACCGCGACGACCTCACCTTGTTCCTCCATCTATCTCCCTCCCCTTCTCCCCTCCATTTTCCATCTCCGTTCTTGTCGCAACAGCAGTACAAGTTGTTTTTTTGCCCCTTGTTTGGCTCTTTAGTCTTGATTATCGATTTTTCAGGCCCTTTTCGGACCAGTACGCGACGGACCCTTTGTGGTGCACATTCCACACATTAACGCCGTCGCGCTGTCTAGGAGGAAGTGAGGTTTGAACGGACTCGGGATTTTCACCTGGAATCATCTTTCTTGCTCTCATATTCTTTTTCTTTCCCCTGGCTCTGAGGCTATCAGCTCCCAAGCACGTCCGGTTCCTCATCATACCACCGTCCAGCACTGCAAACCACCTCCTCTCCCGATTCGACCCATCCTTTTCCTTACTTCCTTTTCCTTAGCGCAACTTTGCACTCTGCGAAGTCCTCCGCTGCAATTCAAGGCCCGTGATTACCCAGCATCTTCACATCCTCCCATCGACTGTCTTTTATCCAACACCACCTCCTTCCACTGTGCACGAACACCAATCTTCCCAGTCATTTCAAGCACCAGATTCCCTCTCCAGTCGATCGCCAGCACCAGCAAGTTTTATTGGGAACTCCTGGTGTACATAGTCGATCAAACAAAATTAAAGCAGAAGACAGAAAGAGAAAGCTATTCTTTGACACTTCGACTTCCTGCGTAAGTGAAGCAAGAGCTGCACAGCTGAACAGAGATCATGTCTGCGTCTCCCACCGGTTTACAGTCGACCAAGCGGCCCTTGGAGGATCCGTCCTCGCCGTCTGGCCCTAATGATCAGCCGGAGGCCAAGCGTCCCGCTCTGGATAAAGTAGTTAAGGGTGATGAATCAGAGGCGTATGCGGATGTTAAGACAGACGCGCCTAGTGTGACGGCCGATGGCCAAGGTGATACCGTTGTTCCTGATGCCCCTAATGCGAAAGGCGGTCTCGGTGAGACTCAGCCCATCCAGTCCACGGCATCCCATTCCGAGGCCGCTGGTTCCCAGTCCGAAGGCCGTCCTCAGGACGAGTCCAGCTGGATTCACATTCGTGCCGTAATCTCCAGCCAAGAAGCTGCTACGGTCATTGGTAAAGGTGGGGAGAATGTATCTCAAATCCGTCGTTCGTCGGGAGCCAAGTGCACCGTGAGCGACTACTCTCGCGGCGCCGTCGAGCGTATCTTGACCGTCAGTGGTCCACAGGATGCCGTTGCTAAGGTTAGTTGTCACCATCTGTGTGTTTAGGATTTTTGCTAACCAAACGATGAATAGGCCTTCGGTTTGATCATCCGTACCCTGAACAATGAACCCCTTGATGCCCCCTCCACTGCCCAGTCCAAGACATACCCCTTGCGTTTGTTGATTCCTCACATTCTCATTGGCTCTATCATTGGCAAGGGTGGCGGTCGTATTCGCGAGATCCAAGAGGCCTCCGGTGCCCGTCTCAATGCCTCCGATGCCTGTCTTCCCCTGTCCACTGAGCGCTCCCTTGTAATCTTGGGTGTTGCGGATGCCGTTCACATCGCTACCTACTACGTGGCCGTGACTCTTGTGGAGCAGCTCACAGAGCGTTTCGGTGGCCCCGCCGCTTCTGCTTACGCAACTCGCAGCGGTGGTCCTGCTGGCGCTGTGCCGGGCGGCATGCAAGTTGTCCCCTATGTTCCTCAGCCCGCCGGTGGTCAATATGGCCATCCGGATACCTTCAAGCGTCATCATCCTCATCCCAACCGTGCTGGCACCGGCGCCTATGGCGTTCCCTATCTCCACGGCCAGGCCGCACCTGCCCCTGTAGCTCAGCCTGCCATGCCCTACGGAGCTACTCCTCATACGCCTTACGCCGGAGCAGGCCCTCACCCACCCGCGCCCTATGGCGGCCCCCAGCCTGCCCAGGCCCGTGGCGGTCCTGCCCCTGTTGCACCGGTGGGTGGTGGAGCCATGCCCGGTCAGCCACTGACTCAGCAGATCTATATCCCCAACGACATGGTCGGTGCTATAATCGGAAAGGGAGGTGCTAAGATCAACGAGATCCGTCACCTCAGTGGCAGTGTGATCAAGATCAACGAGCCTCAGGAGAACAGTAACGAGCGGCTGGTCACCATCACCGGTACCCAGGAATGCAACCAGATGGCTCTATACATGCTTTATTCGCGACTCGGTATGTATTCAATCTGATATAGAAAGCGACGACATCACTAACCCCTTTTATAGAAAGCGAGAAGCACCGGATCTGAAATGGGGGTGGGTGAGATCTGCCATTTCAGCGTTTTGTTCCCTATGAGCACATGGAATTATTTTTCTGTTTTATTTTCTTTTGTCTGTACGTTCGGATCCCAGGGGGAAAAGCAAGATGCTTATGGTTGGGTGGCCTGGATGACATTTTGTTCTTGTTAATTTTCCTTTTCGACTTTTCGGGATTAATTACTTCATGCTGTACTCTATTGAAAAGCGCTGTTCATGAAGTTTTGCTATCGGACTATAGGGTTTAATATGACCCTGGATTTGTAATTGGATGTTTTAACTAATCATATTCCTATCTTCTCAGGTGTTGAGATACAATTCAATTGCTGGAGTGTCGTATTATTTCCCAGGTGTTTTTCTTTCGTTATTTCTTTCTGTGTCTAGAAATTAGCACAGGTATGAAGCAACTCATATCCAAGGAGACCAGTCGTGCTATCCTAAATACTCAACTTCTCCAGGTCAATTGCAAATATAATTACGAAGACATGTTCAGATTTCCAATCCCCTCAATATCAGATACAATATAACCCACGCCCATCCTTTACAACATAGTTACTAAATCCTCTTAAAACTAACATGCTTCATCCCCAAACCAGGAACAGGCGACAGCATCTTCTCTCGAATCGGCGTAATCGCCCCCACAAACTCCTTTGTCCCCTTAACCTCCATATGCTTCTCCACGCTCTCCCACCCAACCGCCAACAAATGCACAAACGCCTGCCCATCACCACTCTTCTCATGCTGCAGCGTCCCAGGCCGCTCAACGTATCCCATCGCCCAAGACGTGGGCCGCGACCCCTCAGGTAGGGATTCCGTCAATGCGACGCGGAAATTGATCAGGTCGTCTGTGAGGGCTTTGTGTTCGTCCGGGGCCATGGTGTTTGGGAATGCGAGGGCGCAGAGCTCGGTAACCGGGTTTGTGGTTAGGGTGTGTGTTTTGGAGGTCGGGGGGTTCAGTGTGCTGAAGATTATGGTGAGTTGGGTGGAGGGGGCGACGAAGGGGGTTAGGAGCGTCGGTTGGACGCCGTCGTGCGCGTCTTTCCATTCTGGTTTTGG